GGGTTTGGGGGTGCAGAGGGAGCGTCGTGCAGGGGGAAGGGGTGCGCTTACCTCGCCGCTGCCCCCGCGCTGCCCCGCAGCCCCCGCCGGCCCCGCACAGCGCCGGCCCTCAGGAGGAAGCCATCTTGTCTGCCTCTCCTCCGCGCTCCCTCACCGCCGCCCCGCCGCAGCCGGGGGGGGGAATGAGCGCCGCATCCCTGCTGCCCCTCTCCTCCTCCTCCTCCTCCTCCTCCTCCTCCTCCTCTTCTTCCCTCCTTCCTCCTCCTCCTTCCGCCTCCTTCTTCCTCCTCCTCCTCCTTTCCCCCCCCACCCCACGCGCAGCCCCCCCCCACTTTCCCCACGCAGTGGCACCGCCCGCCCGCTCCCTGCGCTGCGCAGGAGCGACCCATGAGGGGGGCACGGGGGGGGACACGGGGGGACCTGGGGACACGGGGGGACCTGAAGGGGACGTGGGGACACGAGGGGGACACGGGGGACATGAGGGGACGTGAGGGGGACATGGGGGATGTGGGGACATGAGGGGGACATGGGGGATGTGGGGACACGAGGGGGACACGGGGGGGGTGTGGGGACATGAGGGGGACACGGGGGACATGGGGACATGAAGGGGACATGAGGGGGACGTGGGGACATGAGGGGGAGACAAGGAGGAGATGGGGACATGAGGGGGACACGGAGGGGGACATGAGCAGGACATGGAGTGGGACACGAGGGGGACATGAAAGAGGACACAGAGGGACACAAGGGGGGACACGAGTGGGGGTGCAGGTGGCACACTACAGGGACACAGACAGGGACACAGCCATGCCACCCCACGAGCCAGAGCTGGATAAACCTGAGTCCAAGCTTGGATAAACCTGAGTCCAGACTTGGATAAACCCGAATCCAGGCTTGGATAAACCTGAGTTCAGGTTTGGATAAATCTGAGTCCAGGCTTGGATAAACCTGAATCCAAGCTTGGATAAACCTGAGTCCAGGCTTGGATAAACCTGAGTTCAGGTTTGGATAAACCTGAGTCCAGGCTTGGATAAACCTGAGTGAAGAGCTGGATAAACCCGAGTCTAGAGTTGGATAAATCTGAGTGCAAGGCTAGATAAACCCAAGTCTAGGCTTGGATAAACCCGAATCCAGGCTTGGATAAACCCAGATCCAGGCTTGGATAAATCTGAGTTCAGGTTTGGATAAACCCGAGTCCAGGCTTGGATAAATCTGAGTTCAGGTTTGGATAAACCCGAGTCCAGGCTTGGATAAACCTGAGTTCAGGTTTGGATAAACCCAAGTCCAGGCTTGGATAAACCTGAGTTCAGGACTGGATAAACAAACAAAAACCCGAAGCCCCAAAAACCCCAAAAATCTCATCTGAATTTCATTCCTGACACAGAACTCTTTAGGGCCCTTCCCATCAAGGGGCAGTTTCGACAAAAACGAAGGAGGTTTCGACAAAAAATGATAAAAATTTATAAAAAATGATTTAAAAAACCTGGGAAGGCCTCAGGGACACCTCGAGCTGTGCCTCATCCCATCCCCACCACCCCAAAGCGGTTTTGGGGCCCATTCCTGTGGGAGTGGGGTTTTCTGTGGGTTTATTTAGGGTTTATTTAGGATTTGTTCCCCAAAGCTGAAGGGGACGGGTCGGGGCACCCTTCCCTCGGTTGGGGCTAATGAGCGGCTTCCCAAGATGTTGATTAATTATGCAAATGAGTGGGAAGGACACCCAGAGCTGCCCGGGAAGGCAGGAGAGGGTCTGAGAGCCCAACCTTGACCTTCCTCCTCCTCTTCCTCCTGCTGCAAACCCTCACGGATGGGGAAAGGCAGAAAATCAGGAAAAAAGGCAGAAAATCGGGAAAAAAAGGCAGAAAATCAGGAAAAAAGCAGCGCCAGGGGGACGGCAGCAGCTCCAGCCGGGCCTGGGCGAGCCGGAGGAACTGGTGGAACTGGAACTGGTGGAACTGGAACTGGTGGAACTGGTGCTGGGAAGGGGCTGCCAAAGCACCCCGGGAGAGACGCCGGCCGTGGGAACTGCGCTGCCCCCGGTAACATCCCGAAAAAATCCTTTTTTCCCCGTGTCCTGCCTGGAAAAGCGCCGCAGACAAACCCCCAGCGTCGCTTTTCGGTGTTTTGCCAAGGGCAAAGTCCTCAAAGTCCTTCCCCTGCCTCGCTGAGCCACCTGTGCCAAGGTGCTCGCCACCCCATCCCACCCTCCCACGGCTTTCCCGAGGGAAAAACCCCCGTGTCCACCTCGGAGGCGCTCATATAAAAAAAAAAAACCCAAAAAACCCCCCAAAAAACCCCAAAAATAAAATAAAATAAAAAATAAAATAAAATAAAATAAAATAAAATAAAATAAAATAAAATAAAATAAAATAAAATAAAATAAAGTAAAATAAAATAAAATAAAATAAAATAAAATAAAATAAAATAAAATAAAATAAAATAAAATACAAGCAAAATAAAATAAAATAAAATAAAATAAAATAAAATAAAATAAAATAAAATAAAAGCAAAACAGCACCAAAATTGGGATTTTTTTTTTTAAGGGGGAAAAGCAGCAAAAATCAACGTTTCTCCCTCCCACGCTGGAGACTCCCGAAGCTGGAGCAGCTCTCCCCCTTTTTTGCGTGGGCACAAAATGTGAAATCCGGGGTACAACCACCCCGGCCAGTCAGACCAGACACGCCGAGGGAAGGCGCTGGGATTTTTTGGGGTGAAGGAAAAAGCTCCGAGATGCTCCCCCCGAGCACGGCTCTGCCTTCCCCTCCCTTGGCACCCCCTTTCTTTTTTGGGGGGCACCCGGGTGGGCTCCGTGCGGCGTTTGGAGAGAAATTCCAAGGAATTCGGGTTCAAGGTGCGTTTTGCTCCACCCGTCCCGCGGTGCCGCTTTGGGGGTGCCCCAGGGACCAGCAGAAATTTTGGTTTTTTTGAGGGGTGTTTAAGGCATCAAAGTGCCCTTTAAGGCAGCAGAAAGTCCCATTTCCCACGGAAATACCCTCAAAAAACCAAACCAAACCACCGACCAAGGAGGGGCTTTCCCTGCCCACCCCCACCAGCGGTGACGCGACAAAGGGGTGACAAATCACCCCAAAAAAAGCCGTGGGGATGAGATGGGGAGCCGGGGTGCTGGGGATCGCTCACCTCCCTGCGGAGCCTCTCCATCTCCATCTCCATCTGGGTCAGATTTCGGGGCTCCCCCCGGCCGGGGGGGCGGCCGGCCCGGGCTGCCGGAGCCCCCGGCCCGGCCGCGGGGCCATGGCGGGGTCACCGTGTCCCCAGCGCGGGGACAGCACCGAGAGCTGCGGGGACAGAGCCGCGAGTCACCCCCAGTTTAATTAACACCCCGGCCTGGGGGGCGGCCCCGCTGGCTCCCCACCCCTCCCGCCCCATAGCCCCCCCCAAAAACCGGGGTGCTGCCTCACCGCTTGTAATCCCACCCCTTGTTTCTTCCAACCCCATTTTCCTTTTATCTCTTTTTCTTCTCCCCCCACCCCCAACTTTTTCCTCCACCTCCGGCTCCGCAAAACTTCCCAACTTCAGCCGCGCACCGGCAACTTTCCACCTCCCCCAAATCCCCGAATTTCGACCGAAAAAACAGCATTTACCGGCAAAAAAAAATCAAAATAAAAATAGGGGTTCGCCCCCCTCTTCGCCAGCGGGGGTCGGCGGGGCTGAGCGCGCTGGGGGCGGCGGGGACCGCGGGGACCCCGAGGGGCTCGGGATGTCGCCGGTACCCCGGGGGGACCCGCGGAGCCGCCGCACGCCGCTGCCGCCGCCGCTCTGCTGCTTCCTTTGTTCTGCAGCGCCCGCTCGGGGGGACAGCCGGGACACCGGGGGGCTCGGGGCAGAGGGGTGACGGCAGGGGGAGAGCCGGGGTTTGGGGGTGACGGCAGGGGGAGACCCCCGGGGGTAACGGGAATGGGGGAGACCCCGAGGGGTAACGGGGAGGGGGAGAATCCCGGGGGTTCCGGGGGCTCGGGGGTAATGGGGAGGGGACGAACCCCGGGAGTTTGGGGGTAACGGGGAGGGGGGAGACCCCAGGGGCTCGGGGGTAACGGGGACAACCCTGGGGGTAACGGGGAGGGGGAGAATCCCGGGGGGTTGGGGGTAACGGGGAGGGGGGAGAACCCCGGGGGTAACGGGGGTAACGGGGAGGGGGAGACCCCGGGGGTTTGGGGGTAACGGGGAGGGGGAGACCTCGGGGGCTCGGGGGTAATGGGGAGGGGGCCAAGCCCGGGGGTTCCGGGGGCTCGGGGGTAATGGGGAGGGGGCGAACCGCGGGGGTTTGGGGGTAACGGGGACAACCCCGGGGGTAACAGGGAGGGGGAGAACCCCGGGAGTTTGGGGGTAACGGGGATGGGGGAGAATCCCGGGGGTAATGGGGAGGAGGAGACCCCGGGGGCTCGGGAGTAAGGGGGATTGGGGGAGAGCCCTGGAGGGTTTGGGGGTAACAGGGAGAAAGGGGGGTGGGATTTCGTGGGGTTTTGTGGTTGTGGGGTGGTTGAGCGTGGGGCTGTGCCGGGCTGTTTCTGTAGGATTGTTGTGGGTGGGGGCTGCGCGACCCCGTTGGGTTTGTGGGGCTGCTGGAGGGGAGGTGCTGTTTTTGTGGGGTTTGCGCGGGTCTCGCTCAGTGCTGTTGTAGGGGAAATCCCGAGGGGAGGCAGCTCCGCTCCCACCCCGCCCATACCCTGCTCCACCGTCCCAAAAATCCCCCCTACCCAATTCCCCCACTCCCTGCCCCATATCCCACCCCACAGCCCCCAAATCCCCCCTACCCTACCCCAGTTCCCCCATATCCCACCCCACAGCCCCCAAATCCCCACCCCCATCCCACTCCTCTGTGTTTTCTAGGGTCTCACACCAGGCCAAGCACTGTCCCCCACCCCCCTTTGAGGTGCCAAATCCCCTTGGTTTTCCCCCAAATCCCCATCACAAGACCCCAAAACTGGAACAACATCCCCCCATGTCCCCCTGTGTTCCCTTAGGGTCACCCCAAGACACAGAGCAGCTCCTCAGTGATTCCATCTTAAATTAAGGGGAAAAAAACGAAATAAAAAATTACAAAGATGGGGCTTGGGGGGAATTTCCACCGGGGTTTTCCACAGGAACTCCACAGAAAATCCCCCCTAAAAACGGGCAGGGGCCACAGCAAGGACTGGGCACGGGGAGCCCCCGACCCCAAAACCACACAGGGCTCCCAGGATCCAGCCTGGCCAGGATAGGGCTGGGGGACAGCGGGGACCAGGACGTGTCCCCTCTCCTTGGGATGGTGTCCCCGTGTCCCCTGTCCTTGGGATTGTGTGTCCCTTGTCCTTGGGATCATGTCCCTTGTCTTTAGGATCATGTCCCCTTGTCCTCGGGGTGGTGTCCCCTGTCCCTGGGATTGTGTCCCCTCTCCTCAGGATCCAGGATCGTGTCCCATCTCCTCGGGGTCATGTCCTCTCTCCTCAAGATCGTGTCCCTTGTCCTTGGGATCGTGTCCCCTCTCCTTGGGGTTGTGTCCCATGGCATCAGGATGGTGTCCCCTCTCCTTGGGGTCCTGTCCCCTCTCCTCGGGGGCTCATGCAGACGCCGCCCCTTGCCCGGTGCCAGGGGTGTGGGGATGGGGTGGCACAGGACGGGCACTCAGGGATGTCACAAAAGCCTCCACCTGCAAGGACAGCCCGGCTGAGGGGTGGCACCGCGATGGCACCGGTGTGGGGCTGGGATGGGGCAGGGAGGGAACTGGGATGGAGCTGGGACAGGGTAGGAATGGCTGGGATGGAACTGGGATGGCACTGGGATGGGGCAGGGATGGACTGAGGTGGCACTGGGAGGGCACTGGGACGGTGCAGGAATGGACTGGGGTGGCACCAGGACCATGCAAGGCTGGCACCAGCACGGCCCTGACACAGGGGAGGTTTAACCCCCTCGGAGCCACCGCACCTGGCTCTGAGGACACCAGGAAGCCACCGGGGCTGTGCCACCCCCTGTGCCACCCACCTGCGCCAGGTGTGCCACCCACCTGTGCCAGCAGCCGGCCCTGCCGCGCCGCGTCGTGCTCGAAGTCCTGCTCGGCGTCCAGCAGCAGGACGGGCGCGCGCCGCGCCGCCGCAAAGCCGACCCTGCGGGGACAGCGCGGGCTGAGCCCAAAAACCCCAAAAATATCCCAAAAATCCCCCAAAACCGGGGTGACCCCGAAGCTGGGCGCACATGGGGACTCACTCGGTGGCCCTGGCCAGCAGCCAGAGCTCGTGCTGGCCATGCAGCCGGCTCAGGTAGCCCAGCTGCACCCCGCGCTCCTCGCTCCTCGCCCGCCGCCGCAGCCGCTCCAGGCACCTCTGGAAAAGAAATTCCAGCTCTGGGAAGTGTTTCATAAAGGGGCACATTGGGATAAACAAAATATAAATATAAATAATATAAATATGTAAATACAAATATAAATATAAACAGAAAATGTAAATTAAATATAAACATAAATATAAATAATATATAAATATAAATATAAATATAAATATAAATATAAATATAAATATAAATATAAATATAAATAGAAATAGAAATAGAAATAGAAATAGAAATAGAAAATTCAAATTAAATATAAAATGTAAATTAAATAGAAATATAAAATGTAAATTAAATATAAAATGTATTTTTATATAAATGAAATCTTTATATATATGTAAAGATTATCATGATATAGATAATAAAGAGAAAAATAGATATTTGTAGATGTGATATACGTGTTTTATATATATTATGATATATATTTTAGTATTTTTAAATTTATATATGGAATATATAAATATATATTTATATATGATAATATACAAAAACCCTAAACCCATTCAAAATGCACCAAAAATTCACCCTAAATCCATCCTCAAACCCATCCTAAAACCCACTCTTAACCCATATTAAACCCACTGTAAACCCCAGGTGTGCCCGGTGCCCCCCAGGTGTGCCCGGTGCCCCCCAGGTATGTTTGGTGCCCCCCAGGTGCCCGTGCCCACCTGTGGCGAGGCGCGCAGGTAGAGGAAGGCGTGGGGGGCGGCGCGGTGCCCCAGGTGTGCCAGCAGGACGTCGTGCCACTGCTGGTACAGCGCCCACTCCAGCGGCTGCAGGTGCCCCGCCTCGAACAGCTGCTTGGCAAACACGTACCTGGGCACGGGGACATTGCAGTTATTTTATAGATCTACAGACACAGAGATGTATGTATGTAAATTACATATAAATATAAAATGTAAATTAAATATAAAATGTATTTTTATAGAAATGAAATATTTATATATATGTAAGGATTATCATTATATAGATAATAAACAGAAAAATAGATATCTGTAGATGTGATATACATGTTTTATATATATTATATAAATATGTAATATATATAAAAATGAGGAGCTGCAGGTGCTCCTCCTGGGTGTGTGTAAAATGCACTTTATAGAAAATACACATAAAGTATATATATTACATAATATATCCAATGTATAAATATATATACTAAAGGTATATACTAAAGGTATATATTAAAGGTATATATTAAAGGTATATATTAAAAATAGAGAAAATGTATGTACAAAATGTATACATTAAATGTGTATATATAATATATTAAAAATGTATATTATATATATGTAATGTATCTATAAAATGTATCTATAAAATGTATCTATTAAATGCATATATAAAACGTATAAAATATATAAAATCGTGCCCACCGAGCCTGGCATCACCCACGGGGCACCCCCCAAATGTCCCCAAAATGCCATTCCTGCCATTAAACACACCCGGGCACCACTGGGGCCAGACTCTGCCCACCCCGGCACCCCACGGCACCCTATAGAAACCCGCAACACCCCATGGCACCCCACGGCACCCTATAGACACCCAGGGCACCCACAGCACCCCATGGCACCCCATAGAAACCCATGGCACCTGTAACACCCCATGGCACCCCATAGACACCCAGAGCACCCACAGCACCCTATAGACACCCACAGCACCCCATGGCACCCCATAGACACCCGGGGCACCCACAGCACCCCTCGGCAGCCTGGCACCCCTGGGGGTACCTGTCACTGAACACGGAGCGCTCCAGGACCCTGACGGGGCTCCCGGGGGTGCCCCCGGCCTCGCCCGGCGCCTCCAGCGCGGCCCGGAGGCGGCTGAGGCACGAGAAGGTCTGGAAGGTGTAGGACCAGCGGGAGGGCTCCTGGTACATCAGCTGCAGCAGGTTGGCACAGCCCCCGGGCACCTGTGGGGACATTTGGGGTGAGGGTGGCACAGCCCTTGGGGACCCCTGGGGACATTTGGGGTGGCAGAGCCCCCGGGAACCCCTGGGGACATTTGGGGTGGCACAGCCCTTGGGAACCCCTGGGGACACTTGGGGTGAGGGGTGGCACCGGCCGGGCCAGGCTGTGGCCCAAATCCTTACCTGGGCAGTGCCAGCGGTGGGCACCTGGCGCCACTGTGCCACCGGCTCTGGCACCAGGTGCCACCGCGGGAAGGCGGCGCCCAGCAGCTTCAGGAAGGTCGATTTCCCCACGGCTGCGGGACAGGGGGACAGCGGGGTCAGCCTGGCATGGGGGTCAGCCTGGCATGGGGGTCAGCCCGGCATGGGGGTCAGCCTGGGGATCCCCAGCTCTGCTCCTGGGCATGGGGGGTCAGCCTGGTGCCCCCAGCCCTGGCTCTAAGGAATGTGGGGTGAACCTGGGTGTCCCTCGAACTCTGTCCCTGGGATGTGGGGTGAGCCTGGGTCCCCCAATTCCCGCTCCTGGGGTGAGCCGGGGTCCCCCAATTCCCGCTCCCGGGACCAGTCTGGGTCCCCCAATTCCCGCTCCCGGGGTGAGCCGGGTCCCCCAATTCCCGCTCCTGGGGTGATCCCGAGTGTCCCCCAATTCCCACTCCCGGGGTGAGCCGGGTCCCCCAATTCCCGCTCCCGGGACGAGCCGGGTCCCCCAATTCCCACTCCCGGGAACCGGGGCTGAGCCGAGCCGGGCAGTGCCGGACGCGGGGCCCGCCTTGGTGCCCCCCCTAATTAAGGTAATTAGAGCCGTTCCCGCCCGGTCCCGCCCGTTCCCGCCCGGACCCGGTACCGATGTTCCCCTCCAGGGCCAGGCGCAGCGGGGCCCCGCACCCCCCCATGCCGCCGCTTCCGCCTTCCCGCCTCACATGCTAATGAGATGCTAATTACAGCGCGCGCACCGCCCCGTGACGTCACCGCGCGGGAAGTGGGCGGGGAACCGGGGCGGGATGGTAATTTATGCAAATGAGGCGCTGCCCGCAGCCCGTCCGGGCAATGAGGGGTGGGGGAGCAGAGGAGAGGGGGTTGGGCAGAAAAAGGGGCTAAAGGGCCCCAAAATGGGGTCTGGGGTCACCAAAACCGCATTGGGGTCACCAAAACTGCATTGGGGTCACCAAAACCACACTGGGGTCACCAAAACTGCACTGGGGTCACCAAAACAACACTGGGGTCACCAATAGAATATTGGGGTCTCCAACAGGGGATTGGGGTCAAGGGTGTGGGGTCGAGGGCACAGACTTGTGGTCGAGGGCCCTGATGTGGGACTGGGGTCACCAGCTCGGGGTCAGGGGCATCCCCTGAGGGTGGCATCAATACGAGCCTGGGGACACCATGGGGAGGCTGGGGGCATCAGCAAAGGGTCAGGGGCACCAACACCACTTTGGGGTCACCAAGATGGGGTCGAGGGCACCATTTCGGGGTTCAGGGTCACCAAGATGGGGTCGAGGGCACCATTTCGGGGTTCGGGGTCACCAAGATGGGGTCGGGGGCACCATTTTGGGGTTTGGGGTCACCAAGATGGGGTCGAGGGCATTGCCATGGGGTTGGGGACATCAAGGCCATCAGCAGGACACGGGCACCAAGGTGAGGTGAGGGCTGATTCCCCCATCCCCACAGTGCTCGCCATCCCCCCAGTGCCCCCCAGAGCCCCCCAGTGCCCCCCAGAGCCCCCCGGAAGGCGCCGAGCTGGAGAAAAGGCTTTTTAATGCGCGGTGGGCGGTGGGGAGGAGCAGCGGGGTCCGGGGAGGAGCGGGGCACCCCAGCCTGGGCACGGGGGTCCCGCAGGGTGGGGAGGGGGCTTAGAAGCATTTTCGGTGGACGATGGAGGGTCCGGCCTCGTCGTACTCGGGTTTGCTGATCCACATCTGCTGGAAGGTGGAGAGCGAGGCCAGGATGGAGCCGCCGATCCACACCGAGTACTTGCGCTCCGGCGGGGCGATGATCTGCGGGGGAAAAAATGGGTCTGGGGTCACCCCACGGCCACCCCACGGCCACCCCACGGCCACCCCGCGCTCAGCCAGGGCCTACTTTGATCTTCATGGTGCTGGGCGCCAGCGCGGTGATCTCCTTCTGCATGCGGTCGGCGATGCCGGGGTACATGGTGGTGCCCCCCGACAGGACGTTGTTGGCGTACAGGTCCTTGCGGATGTCGATGTCGCACTTCATGATGGAGTTGTAGGTGGTCTCGTGGATGCCGGCGGACTCCATGCCTGCCGTGGGACGGGGTGTCACCTCCCGGGGCTCCCAAACCGCCCCCGGGGCAGCCGCGGGTCCGGCCCGGCGCTGGCGCTGCCCAGGGCTTGGGGGGAGCCCCAGAGCAGCGCCGTGGGGCACCCCCGGGAGCCGGGAGGCGGCCAAAGGGGCGTTTGCTGCTGGTGGGGAGGGGGCAACCACTGCCAGGGGGAGCTGAGGTGGGCTAAGCCATGAAGGAGGGCTGGAGGAGGGTCTGGGGGCACTGAAACAGGGTCTGGGGGCACGGGCACCGGCTCACCGATGAAGGAGGGCTGGAATAGGGTCTGGGGGCACCAGAACAGGGTCTGGGGGCACTGGGAGCACTGGAGGAGGGTCTGGGGGCACTGGAACAGGGTCTGGGGGCACTGGGGGCACTGGAGCAGGGTCTGGGGGCAGTGGAGGAGGGTCTGGGGGCACCAGAACAGGGTCTGGGGGCACCAGAACAGGGTCTGGGGGCACGGGCACCGGCTCACCGATGAAGGAGGGCTGGAACAGGGTCTGGGGGCACTGGAACAGGGTCTGGGGGCACCAGAACAGGGTCTGGGGGCACCAGAACAGGGTCTGGGGGCACAGGGCCAGGCTCACTGATGAAGGAGGGCTGGAACAGGGTCTGAGGGCACCAGAACAGGGTCTGGGGGCACTGGGGGCACTGGAACAGGGTCTGGGGGCACTGGAGGAGGGTCTGGGGGCACCAGAACAGGGTCTGGGGGCACAGGCACCGGCTCACCGATGAAGGAGGGCTGGAACAGGGTCTCGGGACACCGGAACCGCTCGTTGCCGATGGTGATGACCTGCCCGTCGGGCAGCTCGTAGCTCTTCTCCAGCGAGGAGGAGGAGGCGGCCGTGGCCATCTCGTTCTCGAAGTCCAGCGCCACGTAGCACAGCTTCTCCTTGATGTCGCGCACGATCTCCCGCTCGGCTGCGGGACACGAGGGCGGGACAGGCTCGAGGCGGCGGCCCCACACCGGCCCCGCACCGGCCCCGTGCCGGCCCCGCCGCGCCCGTACCAGTGGTGACGAAGGAGTAGCCGCGCTCGGTGAGGATCTTCATGAGGTAGTCGGTGAGGTCGCGGCCCGCCAGGTCCAGGCGCATGATGGCGTGGGGCAGCGCGTAGCCCTCGTAGATGGGCACGTTGTGGGTGACGCCGTCGCCGGAGTCCAGCACGATGCCTGGCACGGGGGCACGGTGAGGGGCACGGTGAGGGGCACGGTGAGGGGCACGGTGAGGGGCACGGTGAGGGGCACGCCCCAGGCCGGCCCCCGGCACCCGCAGCCCCCCACTCACCCGTGGTGCGGCCCGAGGCGTAGAGGGAGAGCACGGCTTGGATGGCCACGTACATGGCGGGGACGTTGAAGGTTTCAAACATGATCTGGGAGGGGAGAGGACGGGGCGGGGGGTGAGGGGTGGGCACGGGGGTCTCCAGCACGCCCCACCCCGCCCTGTGCCTTGCTGGGGTCAGGGAGTGGCGTGGGGTGCACGGAGGAAGGGGTGGATGGTGGCGTTGTGGGGCGCAGGGGATGGGGGGAAGCACGGGGGTGGTGGGAAAAGGTGGGAAAAGGTGGGAAAATGTGGGAAAAGGTGGGAAAAGGTGGGCTAAGAGGTGGAAACGTGGGTCATGGCAGGGCACAGAGCCACGTGGGGCTGTGCACAGAGTGGGGAGCACATGGTGGGGCAAATCCTGCAGGTCCACGCACTGCCAGAGACCCCCAGGGCCATCAGGCACGGGAACTTCCCACCGGGATCTCTGCCCTTAGCCTGCACCCCCCAAAACCCCCATATCCCCCAAAACCCCCAAATCCCCCAAATCCCCCAAAACCCCCAAATCCCCCAAAACTCCCAAATCCCCCAAATCCCCCAAAACCCCCATATTCCCCAAATCCCCCCAAACCCCCAAACCCCCAAGTCCCCCCAAACCCCCAAATCCCCAAATCCCCCAAAACCCCCAAATCCCCCAAACCCCCAAAACCCCCAAAACCCCCAAATCCCCCAAACCCCCAAATCCCCGAGCCCTTCCTGCGGTTCTGGAGGGCCCAGCCCCACCCAGGGCTCCTCTCCAGGGCCCACCTGGGTCATCTTCTCCCCCTACCTGGGTCATCTTCTCGCGGTTGGCCTTGGGGTTGAGGGGCGCCTCGGTGAGCAGCGTGGGGTGCTCCTCGGGGGCCACGCGCAGCTCGTTGTAGAAGGAGTGGTGCCAGATCTGCGGCGGGCACAGCGCCGGGTGTCAGCCCCAGGAGGGGAGGCAGGGCCGACCCTCTCCCCGCCCGGGCCTCACCTTCTCCATGTCGTCCCAGTTGGTGATGATGCCGTGCTCGATGGGGTACTTGAGGGTCAGGATGCCCCTCTTGCTCTGCGCCTCGTCGCCCACGTAGCTGTCCTTCTGCCCCATGCCCACCATGACGCCCTGGCATGGGGGGAGAGCCCCGGTGAGCGGTGCCCCGGTGAGCAGATGGGGCTGGGGGCTGCCCCGGGCCCCCGGTACCCACCTGGTGCCGCGGCCGCCCCACGATGGAGGGGAAGACGGCGCGGGGGGCATCGTCGCCAGCAAACCCGGCCTTGCAGAGGCCGGAGCCGTTGTCGCACACCAGGGCCGTGGTTTCCTCGTCGCACATGGCGGGTGGAGCTGGGGGCACCTGGGGGAGAAGCTGGCCGGGGGGAGAGGGGCGTTACGGTTTGGGGGTGGAGGTGTTGGGGTCCTCGGGGTCGGGCAGCCCCATAAAATCCTCCGTGGGTCGGCCCCGCTGTGGCGGTGCCGGGAGGGGGGTGATGCTCCTTCCCGCGCTGCTGCTGCTGCTCTTCCATCCTTCTGCAGCTCCTTCTTGGGCAGAATCGCTGCCAAAGCCTCCCTGGGCAGCTCCGGTGCTGCCGTGCCCGGCTGGTGCCCCCCAAAAGTGGGCAGGGCGTGCCAGGAGATGCCCCCTCATCCTCTTCAGGCTCAGCAGCCTTTTGCTGCTCTGACCTTACATCCACTCCCAAAAACGGGGGAAAACCCCCTGCCCTTCCAGGGGGTGCCCCCTGGGCCAGAGGATGAGCTCCCCAATCCAGAGGGAAGCAGGCAAAACCTTGCAGGAGCCCAAAAAACAAAAAAATAACCAAAAACCCCAAAAAATAACCCGCAAATCGCAGGGATTTCTGCAAGAGCACAACCTGCCGTGGCCTCAGCCCAGCTCTGGTCACCTCCTGCGAGGCGCCCAGCTGTGGGGTTGTGTGGGGTTGGCACCCCCTCCGTGCCAGGCGAACCCAGCTGGGGCCACCCCAGAAATGCTGGAGCACCCAAAAACCCCCCGGGGTGTTTTCCTGCCCCTGTCCTCCGGGGAAGGAGGGAAGCGGGGCCGCAGGGCGGTACTCACCACGGAGGCGAGAGAGAGCTCCTTTCCTCTGGGACCGAGCCCCGCTGCCCCGGGTATAAATACCAGCGAGCCCGAGGGACCTCAGAGGCGGATCCGCTCTAAACAAAGACCCTAAATAGGCTCAGTGATGGTGTGTTGGCCATATGGCCATATAAGGTGTTTTATTTCATTAAATTGACCTTGCGCTGGTGGTGGGACCCGGCACGGTTAATTATTGTATGGCAGGGATGCTCGGGAGGCAGCGGCCCCGCTGCGAGCCCGTTCCTTTGATGCTCCGCTGCCATAAAGGAGCGACACTCGGGTCCCTGTGAGCCACGGGCCGGGAACGGCGGCGGCAGCCCCGGGGAGAGCCCGGCCGGTGGCTCCGGTGGCTCCGGTGGTGCCGGTGGCTCCGGGTCCCGCCGCTCCTGCGCTGCCTCTCCCCGCGCTTTTCTCTCCAGAGCCTCTCCCGTTTTTGGGTTTTTGCTCCCCTCGTGCCCCAAATCCCGACCCCAAATCCCGACCCCGCGCTCAGGGTGAGCCCGGTTCCAAACCCGAGGCTGGTTTTGGGTTGGGGGGACGAGCCCGGAGCCCCCGGGGGACACGGTGGGTGCTGAGCCCGATCCCGGTGCTGCCCCAGCCCCGCGGGCCCGGCAGAGGCCACCCAGAGGCTCCCGCACTGCCGCTGCCTTTTTAAGGACAACGGGCCCGGAGTGCCCCGGAGTCACCTCCCGGAGCCGGGGACACTGGAGGGAAACTGAGGCACGGCGGGCCCGGCTGGTCCCCGAGCTGTGCCCGCGGCAGGGACACACCAGCACTGGAGCAGCGACAAGGAGCTGCAGGGTGCCACCGCAGGCAAGGGACACAAAGGTCCCGGTGTCCCCCGAGCTTCCAGAGGGAGGGAATGGGGCCTGGGCTGTCACCCCATGGGGCAGGACAGGGACACCGTCAAAAACCCCTTCAAAATGAATTTCCCCCCAAAACCAGCGGAGTGGGGAAGGGAAGAGGGGGTGATGGAGGCAGCAGCTGGAGAGCCCCGTGTGGAGGGAGCGCCCCAGGATCCCAAACCAGGGCAGCCAGGGGCACATCCCCAAAGGCCACAGACACTGCAGCCCCCTGGAGCATCCCCAGACCCCCGGAGCATCCCCAGCTCCATCTGAGCATCCCCAGCCCCCCACAGCATCCCCAGCCCCCAGAGCATCCCCAGCCCCATCTGAGCATCCCCAGCTCCATCTGAGCATCCCCAGCCCCCCTGAGCATCCCCAGCCCCCCTGGAGCATCCCCAGCCCCCCTGGAGCATCCCCAGCCCCTCTGGAGCATCCCCAGCCCCCCTGGATCATCCCCAGCCCCACCTGAGCATCCCCAGCCCCCCCTGAGCATCCCCAGCTCCCCTGGAGCATCCCCAGCCCCCCTGAGCATCCCCAGCCCCCCGGATCAGCCCCAGCCCCACCTGATCAGCCCCCCACAGCATCCCCAGCCCCCCCAGCCGCGATCCCTCTGCCGGGCCCGGCTCCGCCCGGGGCTGCCCCATCCCGCGGGATCCCCGCTCATCCCGCCCGCGGCAGCGCAGCCCCGGCTCCCGGAGCCCGGCGCAGCCTAAAAAGGAAAGGTTTGGCCCCCGCAGCCAATCCCGGGATGCTCGCAGGAACGGCCCCGGGGGATGCTCACGCCCGGGAGCTCCGGGGATGCTGCCGAGGACGGGCAGAGGCGTGAAAAGAGGGTTGGGGATGCTGGGGGGGAGATAAGCATCGCTCCCTGCCCGCGGGGACCCCCCGAACACACGACCCGCGTCGTTCCAGCCCATAAATCCTTCCTGATCCTGCCTCATGTTCGGGGCCAGCTCCTCTCCCGGATTGAACCCAAGTTTGGGAGGTTTTCAGGTGTGACATTGACACAGAAAGTGAGGATTTGGGGAGCTGGGGTGAAAAAAATGGGGTGAAAAGGCTGGGAGAGCTCAGGGAGCAGCGCTGGGAGCTCAGTGACAGCCGGGCCCTGACCTGAGGAATTCCCTGCTCCAAGGAACATGGAAAATTCCCTGGGAAGGTTTATCGGTCACTGGGAGAACACAGAAGGGGTGAGGTGCCCCCTGAGAGCTGCGGGGATGTGGAGCTGGGATAAACCCCCACACAGCTGAAGGAATTGCAGCTTGGCAAAAATGGGATTTTCCGCTCTGTCCCCTCGCTGCTCCGGGGGAGCCTCGAGGGCTGAGGAGCTGCGGGATCTGCTGGGCTGGGCTGGGCTGGGCTCCCCTGGGTGGGCACAGCCAGCAGGACCCGGAGCTGGGAGTGCTCAAAGCTGTGGGATCCCATCCTGGAGTGGGATTGGGGTGCTCAAAGTGCTGCAATTCCATCCTGGAGTGATATTGGGGTGCTCAAAGGTGTGGGATCCCACCCTGGAGTGGGATTGGGGTACTCAAAGTGCTGGAATTCCATCCTGGGGTGGGATTGTGGTGCTCAAAGTGCTGGAATTCCATCCTGGAGTGGGATTGGGGTGCTCAAAGTGCTGGAATTCCACCCTGGAGTGGGATTGGGGTGCTCAAAGTGCTGGAATTCCACCCTGGAGTGGGATGGAAGTGGTCAAAGCTATGGGATCCCGTCCTGGAGTGATATTGGGGTGCTCAAACCTGTGGGATCCCATCCTGGAGTGGGATTGGGGTGCTCAAAGTGCTGGAATTACATCCTGGAGTGGGATTGGGGTGCTCAAACCTGTGGAATCCCATCCTGGAGTGGGATTGGAGTGCTCAAAGTGCTGGAATTCCATCCTGGAGTGGGATGGAAGTGCTCAAAACTGCTGGAATTCCACCCTGGAGTGGTGATGGCAGCCAGACGAGCTCCCCCACAGCACCTCCAGATGAGGAAAAGGGACGGAGCGCCCACACCCCCCTGAACGCTGCTGGGATGCAAAGCAGGGCCACACCCAGGGACCTGCAGCCCTGAAGTGCTGCCAGAGGGATCCCAAAGCAGCTCAGCTCGGGCCCTCCTCCCTCCCACAGGCAGCACCGAGCTCGTGTGGGGCTGGGAAGGATCAGCCAGGCCTGGGTTTAAACCATGGAAAAGATTTATCAGCTCCTGGGAGCTGAGACAGGACAAAACGGGGCAGGGCTCAGGGGGGAGTCCCACCAGCCCTCGGAGAGTTCCCACAGCTCGGGGGGCAGGGGAAGCTCCCCACGAGGATGTGGGGCAGGGTTAAAGGGCTGCTGTAGTGTCTGTGAGCTCCTCCCCACGCCTGCAGCCCCACGGAGGGCAGGGAGAGAAACCAGATTCCCTCCAAAGGCCTACAGGAAGGTGGGGGGCTCCTGTGAGGGGGCAGGGGGAGGCTTATCGGAGATCCAGCAGCACCACGTCCCTCTCCACCACCGACACGTGGCTGCAGGTCTGCAAGAGAGGACACGGGGGTTACTCAGGTGTTCCCACAGCTCAGGTGAGTCTCCTGCACCTGCTGACACGAGCTGTGCTTCCCCAGAGCAGCCCCTGGGTGCACTCCCCCATCACCCCAAACTGCCAGCCCTGCCCCACAGCGAGCATGGCAGGCCCCAGACACAAATCCCACCCCAAAAACATCCCTGGGCTGCAGCCAGCAGCTCTGCAGCACAATTCCAGCACCGGGAGAACTCTGGAAGCTCCTGGGAGTGGGAGCAGCCCTGAGCCCGAGCCCAGCACACCCACCCCCTCCCCAGAGCCCCCAGAGCTCACTGTGAACAGGGGGGGCTCCCTGGGGTGGGGGTGGAAGCCCTTCTGCCGGCAGGACGAGATCTCCTCCAGGCCGTGCTCCGTCAGCCTGAAGAACCCAGTCCTGGAGCAGGGAAAGCAGCCCTGGAGCCCCAGCCCGTCCTGGGGCACCCAGCAGGGCAGAGAGGAGCCTGAGGGACGCCCCAGGCCCGGGGAACTCCTGTCCTGGGCCTCCTGCCGGGGCTGGGCCCGCACACAGCCCCGGGAACAGCCACGGGGGCTGGCCAGGCGCTCCGGGGACATCCCGGGACATCCCGGGACATCCCATCCCTTCCCATCCCACCCCATCCCTTCCTGGGACCCCACAGTCACTCCTGGAACCCCACACCTGCTCCCAGGACCCCACACTCACTCCTGGGACCCCCCAATTGCTCCCCAGGACCCCCCACTCGCCCCCAGGACATCCCACTCACTCCTGGTACCCCCCCACTCGCCCCCAGGACCCCACACCCACTCCTGGAACCCCACACCTACTCCCAGGACCCCACACTCCATCCTGGGACCCCATACCCACTCCTGGTACCCCCCACTTGCCCCCAGGACCCCCCAGTCAACCCTGGGATCCCCCAATCACCCCCAGGACCCTCCAATCACCCCTGGGACCCCCCAATCACCCCCAGGACCCCCCACCCGCCCCAGACCCCCACTCACTCCTGGTACCCCCCACTCACTCCCAGGACCCCTCAGTCACCCCCAGGACTCCCCAATCACCCCTGGGACCCCCCAATCACCCCCGGGACCCCCCACCCGCCCCGGACCCCCACTCACTCCTGGTACTTGGGCGAGCAGACGATGGCGATGGACTCGGGCAGCATCATCTGGTAGGAGCAGTGGGTGTGCAGGTCCACGCTGGAGAGGAAGGCTGTCTGCGTGGGGTGGGTCTGCAGGGACGGGCACAGCTGGCACCCTGGCAGTGCTGTGGCACAGCTGGGGAGCCATCCACGGGCTCCTGGAACGCTTTGGGTGGGAGGGACTCGGAGCCCCTCAGTGCAGGGACACCTCACCCCTCCCAGCTGCTCCAGCCCGGCTCGGGCACTGCCAGGGGCCAGGGCAGCCCCAGCTGCTCTGAAGCTGTGCCAGGCTGCCCACCCTGCCAGGGAAGGGTTTCTTCCCAGCATCCCACCTAAACCTGCCCTCCTCCCCGCTGGAAGGGCCGGGTGCTCTGGGAAGGGCCCCAAAACTGAACCAGGCTGGGCTCGGGAGCAGCGCCCGAGGCTGTGCCAGGGACAGAAACCCCACAGGGACTGCCACCCACTGCCCTCCCGTGGGGCTGGGGGTGCCAGGGAAGGAGACTCACGTGGATCCAGCCCAGGGTGACGAGGCCGTGCTGGTCCTGGATGAGGAAGAGCTCCTCCTCGCTCTCGGTGGTGCAGGAGTCGGGGCCGCCCAGCTGCTTGGGCACGATGACGTGCGTGATGGTGAACTCGTTCCTCATCTGCAGCGAGGGACCCAAACCCCCAGGGGCTGTGACCCCATACCCCCCAAATCCCCAGGGAGCTGTGACCCCACACCCCCAAATCCCCAGGGGCTGTGACCCCACACCCCCCAAATCCCCAGGGAGCTGTGACCCCACACCTCCCAAATCCCCAGGAGCTGTGACCCCACACCCCCAAATCCCCAGGAGCTGTGACCCCACACCCCCCAAATCCCCAGGAGCTGTGACTCCATACCAGGCACCCCCAAATCCCCAGGAGCTGTGACCCCACACCTCCCAAATCCCCAGGAGCTGTGACCCCACACCAGGCACCCCCCAAGCCCTGGGGCCAGCCCGTGGTGAGTTTTCTCTTGGAGTTTGGCCCTAGGATCTCTCATCACACCTGAGGCAGCTCAGCTCCCTCAAATGGCATCAAAGGAGCAGGGGGGCTTTGAGGGAGTGTTGGGGACAGAAAAATTCTAATAAAAGGCAAAATAACAAAGTTCCTACAGAGAAAAACTGAGCTAAGGACAAGAGGTTTTTGCTCCTGCTAAAGCAGCCCACAAAAGCGATTATTTTCTTTGTTCTCTTTTTTCCCAGTGAATTACCCAGGCAGGACCTCTTGGCCTCTGTCCAACTGGGCAGCCCCAAGTTTAAAGCAAAGCTCAAATGTGCTATAAGGTGTCTTTTAACCAAATCGAGGAGAAAAACCTCTGGGCTTTTTTGCCTTTTTAAGGAGACAAAGGACAATTTGGTCACTCTGTCAACAAGGGGCACGCTCCTACTCATGGATGCATCCACCACCCATCTGCAGGTGCAGCTGCAAAGATTTCCAGGGCTTTTTCCAAAGGATTTCCAGGGCTTTTTCCAAAGGAGCTGCAGGATTTTCCTCCCGTTTTGTTCTCCCTGCTGTGCAGAGCACCCCCAGGAGCTCAGAGGAGCCCTGCACACCCCCAAGCCAGCTCTCCCCTCCAAAGGGACGCTGCCTCATCCCTCAGGCATCCCCAGTGCTGGAGCAGCTGGGCTGCAGGGATTGCTGCATCAAGCAGCTGCATTTCAAAGCAAACTTCTGGGAGCGGCTGGAGCCAACAACAAACCCTGGGCACGCAAAGTCTGGGGGGGAACAGAGTCCTGCCTGCCTGAGGGCCACCAGCTGGGACAGCCAGAGGACAAGCAGCGTCCCCAGAATGTCACCAGAGTGGCAGAGAAGCTGAATGGGGCCTCAGGTGGGGAAACCCTAACCCAAAAACGAGGGAAGGGAGAGGCACATCATCCCCAACGCCCACACCTGACACCACACTGAGGAACCCAGGACAAAAATCAGGGTCCTTGAACCACTTCCAAAGTGACAAACAATCCCTGTGCCCCTTTGGGGGGTCTCCTGGGGGCGTTTCCTCACCAGCTTCCCGCAGAGGATGCCGCAGGTCTCCACGCCCCGCGCCGTGTTGGCGTCAGCCAGCTGCAGGAACTTGTGGCACAGCTCCCTGGGGACAATGACCTGGCGCAGGACGTCCTCCCCTGCACCTGTGGGGACAGGCAGCACAGCCAGCAGGGTCAGCAGGGCTGCATCTGTGAGAAAACCCACCCAGGAAGGTAAAGTCACCTCAGGGAATGTGGCACTGTGACACCCGATACAGGACAGCTGCCACCTCTCTCTCTTTTCCCTTTTTTCCCCCTTTTTTTTCCCCCAGCCTAAGCACTCTGTCACTGCTGGGGACTTGGTGACAGATTAACTCAAGGTGTCTCAAGCTGAGCCACAGCGAATTGCTCCTCGTTTGGGGCATTTTCTCCTTGTTTTTGTGCTTCTACAATGTTGGTTAAGTAGAAAGATCTCATTGTGGCCTCCCAGCACTTAAAGGAGGCTTCTAAAAAATAAAAAAAAATTACTTTTTTAACCTGGGCAGTGACAGGACATGGGGGAAGAGCAGAGCTTTAGAGCAGGGAAAGGGAGATGGAGAGGGGAAGGATCCTCTGGCAGGGGCTCGAAAAGAGTGTTTTGTTACTAAAAATGAAACCACACACCCTCAGGAAATGTTATTTACAGCAGGACTGGGCAACACTCAGCCACTGGACACGTCTGAATCTGAATTTTGGAACCACATTTAGTGGGATTTGGTCAGGAGGAGGATTCAGTCAGCCCAGCAGGAGCTAAACCCCAATCCCCAGCAAGGATTTGGATCAAGGAAAAGCAACGAGGCCGCAGAGCCTGGAAGAGCAGAGGGGACAGCACCCAGTGGAATTCCAAGAGCTCCCCAGAGAAGTGGCCCTGTCAGCCCCAGCAGGAGAAGGGCTGCTCCAAGAGGTACTAACTGTTCTCCGTGCTCCCCAAAGCACTGGGCTTCAAGGATCTGTCCACAGCAGGAGGCTTGGAGGGCACAGTCCCCACTGCTGGGCTTGCCGGGGGAACTGCAGAGCCTGGCAGCTTTGGGGTTAAATCTGTTGGGGGCTTCTCCACGCCAGGGATGAGGGGACCATCCCCAGGCTCTGGCTCTGGTTTGCCAAACTCCTGCACGATCCTCAGGCGCTCCTTCTCCAGCTCCTGCTGCCGGATCATCTCCTCGAAGGCCTGGAACTGCTCCTGCTCTGCCTGCTGCTGCTTCAGCAGGGCCACCCGAGTCCTCTCCTCCTCCAGCTGCTGCTGCAAAGCCAGAGGGTGCAAATTACTCTTCCTCCTCCTGCTGTGAGCAGGAACAGGCCCAGGGACAGCAGCAGGGAGGGGGACACCGGCCCGGGGCAGACCCCCGGGTTATTCCTAAAGGTCAGCAGCAAACAGCATTTTCTGCAAGGAAACTTCAGCTTGCAGGGCACAGCACCAGAGCCAGCTGCACCCAGGGCAGGAAAACCACTGCTTTACCCTCCCTCTTCCATGGAATTAAATCCCAGGTTGATTTCCCTCAATTCTGCCTCTGAAGTCCAGAGGTGACTGTTCTGCCCACACAGATCCTGGGGCTGTGGTGGAATTACAACCCCGATGCCCTCCCCCATTTCAAATTTAATTTCTGCTTCTCATTTTTCACCAGGTGGTGCTTTCCTTTCGTGGGGCAGAGAGAAGCAAGCAAGCACAGGGCCCCAGCTGGGGATGCACGGGGAGCAGAGCCAGGGCCACCTGAGCCAGAGCCACCCGCAGGGACAGCAGGGGACAAGCCTGGGAAAGGTTGGGGCCACCCAGACTGGACATTCCCGAGCACCCGGGGAGCCCTGGAGCTCCTGAAGGCTGGGGGGCTCCTGGGGAGCACGGCTTCAGTCTGCTGTCACTCACCTCCTGCTCCTTGTACTTAGCATAGTCCTTGGCGTACCTCTTTAGCAGCTCCTCCTTGAGCTCTTCGGCTCGGGGAAAGGCTACTTCCTTCAGCTTCTGGGGGAGGAAGCACAGCATCAGCAGCCCCAGGGCACGGGGAGGGAAACCCGAGCAGCTGAAGAGCCCCAAAACCACCACCAACACCACTGGGCAATTGTGCTGTCCTCTCCTCTGGTGGTCAGCGCTTCCTGGGGCGGCCAGGAATCTCCAAGGATTGCCTTGGAGCAAAGGAAATCACTCGTGGTCTTTGAAAAGCAGGGAGCTGGACAGGGAGGAAAGGACACCCCAGGAATTAAAGTGTTCACCACAGCCAGTGCAGCGCCAGGGCAACGGGGTGAGAACCCCCAAACCCTAACTCAGAGAATCCTGGAGTTGTTTCGGCTGGGAAACACCTCCAAGATCATCGAGTCCAACCATTCCCCCAGCTGCCCACCCCTAACCCACGCCCCCAGGTGTTTGGGAACTCTTCCAGGGGTGGTGGAAGCCAGTGCCAGGACTGGACAAAGCTTTTGGGGAAGAAACTTCCCCAATACCCAACTACAGCCTCCCCTGGTGCAACGTGAGGATGTTTCCCCATATCCTGTCCCTGTTCCCTGGGAGCAGAGCCCGACTAAGAGTTGTGCAGAGCCAGAAGGGCCCCTCTGATCCCCCTTTTCTCCCTTCCCAGCTCCCTCAGCTGCTCCTGGGGCTCCAAACCCTTCCCAGCTCCGTTCCCACCTCTGGAAAAACTGAACCCCGAGGGCCCAGAACTGCCTGGCCAAGCCAAGGCTCTGCAGCATTTGTGTGGCTCAGCCATGACAGAGCCCAGAGCCAGGGAAGGCGCAGGCTGGGCTCCTGAGCACGTTCCTCCTGCAGAGCTGCTGCTGTTCCCCCTGCAGAGCTGCTGCTGTTCCCCCTGCAGAGCTGCTGCTGCCCCCACTGCAGAGCTGCTGCTGTCCCCACTGCAGAGCTGCTGCTGCCCCACTGCAGAGCTGCTGCTGCCCCACTTACTCTGACCGTCTCCCTCTTCTCGGGGATGGCGGCGCTTTTGTAGTCGCGGTGCTGCGGCAGCTTCTCGATGAAGAGCCTGGAGAAGGGGACACAAGCTGCACTCCAGGGCACTCGGGGGGCTCTGGGGGACCCCCCGTGCTCCCCCTGCCTGTCTCCATCCCCAGCAGATCTCACTCAGCCCCTCGGCAGAGCCCATGTGGGCTCTCCTCACACCCAGACCCTTGGGGACTGACTTTTCCTGGGAAGAGAAGCACGGCCAAGCTGCTCTGAAGCACCAAGGAGGGGCTCAGGGAGCTGCTGGGGCAGCTGCCCACACCTGGGGGTGTAGGAATGTGCCCCCCTGTTGAGTAAACAAGTTACCCTTCGTCTCCTTAAAAACAAAAAAACCCACAAGTTTCCTCAGTTTGGTTAAAAGACACCTCACAGGACCTTGGGGATCACCTCAAACTTAAGGACACCCAATTGGACAGGAACCAAAAAGTTCCTGAGCAATTCACTAGAAAAAGAACAGAACAAAAGAAGTAAATAGTTTTTGGGAAGTGTTTTAGCAGGAGCAAGAACCTCTTGCCCCGGCTCTGCTTTTCTCTGTAAAGAGCTTTGTTATTTTGCCTTTTATTAAAACTTTTTTGTTTCCAACACTGTCACAGGAGCCATCCTGCTTCTTTTATGCCAGCTGAGGTAGCTGAGCTATCAAGGGTGTATTATTTATCTCTGAGAGCTTTGTAAGGCTCCCTGCTCTTCTCCCAGGTGAGATTTCCATCCTAACACCCAACCTAAAGCTCTGCCCTTCCCCCGTGTCCTGTCACCGCCCAGGAAAAAATCTCCTCTTTTTTAGAAGCCTCCTTTAAGGCCACAATGGGATCCTTCCACAAAGTCCTACAAGGACAAAAACAAGGAGAAAATGCCCCAAATCAGGGGCAGTTTGCTCTGGCTCAGCTCTCTGGGAGCTTGAGACACCTTGAGTTAATCTGTCACCAAGTCCCCAGCAGTGACAGAGTGCTTAGGCTGAGCTCAGGCAGGGAAAAAAAAAGGAAAAAAAGGCGAAAAAAAGGGGAAAGACACAGAGAGCAGAACAAACCAAGCAAGCCAAGCCAAGCAGGAAAAGCTCAGGGTCACAGGGGCTGTGCCAACACTGTGTGTGTGTGTGTGTGTGTGTGTGTGTGTGTGTGTGTGTGTGTGTGCAGCTGCTCCAGGCCCTCAGGGACTCCGTGCCCCCCCAGACGCCCCTGGAGAGGAAGAGGCAGGGGCAGGGCACAGCCTGCAGCCCTGCTGGGGCCCTGGCTGCCCCCCAGAACCCCAAACCCTGCCAGGTCCCCCTCTCCCAGCTGGGAATTGGGTCACGGTGCAGGAGGCAGGAGGAGCGCTGCCAGCAGCTCCCAGGCCAAGGGAAGGGATTCATTAGGCAGGATTAAAAGCAGCTGCTGAACTGGGCAGGATGGAAAAACCAGCAGGGACAGCTGGGCCTGCAGCACGCAGGGAGAGACGTGGGGAGGAGGAGGAGGAGAGGAGGAGGGCTCAGGCAGGCAGAGGAAAACCCCAGGGCAGAGGAAGGCTGCCCCTGCTGGGGCCTGGCCACACCAAAACCTCCCACAGGCAGCAGCTCTGGGGCTGCAAACCTCTCGAGCCTCTGGAGCAGCCAGAGCCTGGACTGGTTCTGAGCCCAGTTCTGGTGTCCAGGCCAAGCTGGTGGCTCTCAAGGCCCTTGTGACACCCCCACGAGTCCCTGGAGCTGATCCAAGCAAACTGAGGAGCCCCAGCGTTACAGAAAAGTTGTGTCTTATTCCTTTTTTCCTTCTAATGTTGCTCAAAGTTGTGTTTTGTTTCTTTTTTCCTTGTTATTTTGGCTCAAAGTTGTGCCTTATTCCTTTTTTTTCCCTCTTATTTGGACCCTCAGGTTTCCCCAGAGCCTTTTCTTCTCCAGGCTGAACACCCCCAGCTCCCCCATTTCCAGGAAAAGTGGAGCAGAGCAAATCCATGAGGCTCCAGAGCCTCCTCCTGCTCTCTGGATGAAGACATTTAGAAAAACCTCTAGAAAACACCAAACCCACTGCTGGAAAACCTCTAGAAAACACCAAACCCACTGCTGGAAAACCTCTAGAAAACACCAAACCCACTGCTGGAAAACCTCTAGAAAACACCAAACCCACTGCTGGAAAACCTCTAGAAAACACCAAACCCACTGCTGGAAAACCTCTAGAAAACACCAAACCCACTCCTGGAAAACCTGTAGAAAACACCAAGTCCACTGCTGGAACTCCAGCTGCCCATCCTCACTGGAAGAAATGTCAGTGGCACCCAGCTCCTAAAGCAGAAATCCCACCAGGGCGAGGCTCTCCCTGGTGGAAAGGATTTCCCTGGTGGAAAAGGGAAGCTGGAAATGCCGGGAGAACCATCTGGAAGCAGCTGGGCACAGCAGCCAGCACCTCTGGCTGCCACAGTGACCCAGCCCACAGCTCATTTGTTTAGTTAAAACATTTCTGCTCCGGCCCCAGCTGCGTAAGGGGCCTGGAACCCTTCCCAAAGCTTTTTTGGGAAGCCTTCCCAAAGGTTTTACACTTCCCAGCTCCCCGGCAGCCTCCCGGGCCTGGCCACCATGCCCATAAAAGCTCAGGAAGGGCGAGGCGGGGAGCAAAGCTAATCAGAGAAAAATGTCTCGGGTCGGAGGGGCAGCACAGGGGGGCAGGCAGGGAGAGCGCCCACGGAGGTGCCAACCCTGCCTGGGGTGAGTGGGCACTGCACAGAGCTCAGCAGGAGGGAGAGACGGAGGGGAAAACCTACAGGAACAGCACACTGCACCCAGAGCCCGGATCTGTGGGTCTGTCCCACCTCCCCAAAGCCCTGAGGAGCAGATCTCCCCAAAGCCCTGAGGAGCAGATCTCCCCAAAGCCCTGAGGAGCAGATCTCCCCAAAGCCCTGAGGAGCAGATCTCCCCAAAGCCCTCAGGAGCAGATCTCCCCAAAGCCCTGAGGAGCAGAGCTCCCCAAACCCCTCAGGAGCAGATCTCCCCAAAGCCCTGAGGAGCAGATCTCCCCAAAGCCCTGAGGAGCAGATCTCCCCAAAGCCCTGAGGATTATCTCTGGCCAAAACCCAGATCTGTGGGTTTCTCCCATCTCCCCAAACCCCTCTGGCCAGAACCAAGATTTGTGGGTCTGTCCCACCTCCCCAAAGCCCTGAGGATCAATCTCTGGCCAGAACCTGGATCTGTGGGTCTGTCCCACCTCCCCAAAGTCCTGAGGATCGATCTCTGGCCAGAACCCGGATCTGTGGGTCTGTCCCACCTCCCCAAGTCCCTGAGGATCGATCTCTGGGCAGAACCCGGATCTGTGGGTCTGTGCCACCTCCCCAAACCCCTCAGGATCAATCTCTGGCCAGAACCCGGATCTGTGGGTCTGTCCCACCTCCCCAAACCCCTCAGGAGCAGATCACCCCAAACCCCTCAGGAGCAGATCACCCCAAATCCCTGAGGATCAATCTCTGGCCAGAACCCAGATCTGTGGGTCTGTCCCACCTCCCCAAAGCCCTGAGGATCAATCTCTGGGCAGAACCCGGATCTGTGGGTCTGTGCCACCTCCCCACGCCCCTCAGGATCAATCTCTGGCCAGAACCCGGATCTGTGGGTCTGTGCCACCCCCGCAGCCCCTGCCCAGCCCTGCCCAGCCCTGCCCAGCCCCTGCCCAGCCCCTGCCCAGCCCTGCCCAGCCCTGCCCAGCCCTCCTTACGTGATGTACTTGTGGTAGAGGATGAAGGCGTGCTCCAGGTTGCCCTCCTGGCAGTAGATGGTTGCCATGCGCAGCATCTCCACGCCCGAGCGGAAATAGCGGCGCGGGGGCACGTCCTCGCTGACCTGCACGCTGCTGCCCGCCCGCACCAGGCGCCGCACGCGCTCCTCGGGGGACAGGCTGGCACTGCCAGCGCTGGGAATGGCCGTGTGCCGCTCCTCGGGGGCCAGGCTGGCACTGCCCGCGCCGGGAATGGCCGTGTGCCGCTCCTCGGGCGCCAGGCTGGCACTGCCCGTGCCAGGGACGGGCACACGGTGTTCCTCGGGGGCCAGGCTGGCACTGCCCGCGCTGGGAATGGCCGTGTGCCGCTCCTCGGGCGCCAGGCTGGCACTGCCCATGCCAGGGACAGGCACGGGCACGGACATGGGGTGTTCCTCGGGAGCCAGGCTGGCGCTGCCCGCCCCGGGCATGGGCACGGACACGCGCCGCTGTGAGGGACAGAGGGATGGAGAGGGGGATCAGAACCCGCTGGGAGGGGAATTGGGGATGGGGGAATCACAGAACCGGGGAATGGGGGAATCGGGGAATGGGGGAATCGGGGAATGGGGGAATCACAGAACCAGGGAATTGGGGAATCAGGGAGTTGGGGAATCAGGAAATTGGGGAATTGGGGAATCAGGGAATGGGGGATCAGGGAATCAGGGTATTGGGGAAATCAGGGAATGGGAGAATCAGGGAATTTGGGAATCCAGAAATCAGGGAGTCAGGGGAAACGGGGAGTGGGGGAATCACTGAATCGGGGAATTGGGGAGATCAGGGAACTGGGGAATGGGGGAATCGGGGAAATCAGGAATGAGGGAATGGGGGAATCAGGGAATTGAGGAGATCAGGGAACCGGGGAATGGGGGAATTGGGGAAATCAGGAATGGGGGAATCAGGGAATTGAGGAACTGGGGAATCGGGGAATCACTGAATCAGGGAATCCAGGAAATCATGGAATGGGGGAAATCAGGGAATCACTGAACTGGGGAATCAGGGAGTGGGGGAATCAAGGAACTGGGGAATCACCGAATCAGGGAATGGGGGAATCAGGGAAATTGGGAATCATGGATTTGGGGAATGGGGAATTTGGAGAAATCAGGGCATCAGTGAATCGAGGAATGTGATTCCCCAGAGGGAATCACTGAAACACTGAACTGAGGAAATCATGGAATTGGGGAATGGGGAATAGGGAAATCACTGAATCTGGAATCACAAAAATCACTGGATCAGGAAATCACAGAATCAGGGAATGGGGGAATCACTGAAACACTGAACCAGGGAAATCACGGAATTGGGGAATGGGGGAGAATCAGGGGAATCACTGAATCAGGGAATCGCAGGGCTCCAGGATCCCCCCAGATCCATCCTGACCCAACAGGACCCCCCAGATCCTCCGAGCCCTGAGCGGATCCCCCTTCCCGCCAGCCATGGCGCTCAGAAACTAATTCCAGTTAGAAATTAATTTAGCGTTTAGGACAGGAACTTAAAGCGAAGGCTCCCACAGCCAGACCCCCTCCGCGACGGGCTCCTCCTTCCCCTAGTGACCATCCCATTGCCGGGGCACCCCGGGGCGGGTTCCCCTCGTCAGGGGAACGTTCCACACCCCCCGGCCGGAGCCCTCCCCGGGCAGTTCGGGACCCCCCCAGCAGGCCCGGGACCCCCCCAGCAGGGCCGGGACCCTCCCCGGGCAGTTCGGGACCCCCCAAACAGGCCCGGGACCCCCCAAACAGGCCCGGGACCCTCCCCGGCAGATCCGGGACCCCCCAAACAGGCCCGGGACCCCCATCCCGCGGGGCCATCCCGGCCCGGCCCGGCCCTGACCTGGCGTCGCCGCCGCCGCTTCCCCTCAGCACTTCCGGGTTCTTCCCCACCGGCCGCCGCCTCGCTCTCAGCAGCCAATCAGAAGCCGTCTCCGCATCCGGGTACGCAACGCACATTTCCCTACTTCCGCCCGGTTGTGAAGCGGCTTCCGTTCCCTTAGGGGAACGTCGTGCGTCGTGACGTATCAGCGGCTGCTCTTAAAGGGGCAGCGCCCCTGAAAAGGCCGCGCTGTTCCCCAGCCCAAACCCGGCCGTTCTCACCCCAAAACCGAGCCCGACCCTCCCCCCCCCCCCCCAGCAGCGCGGATCCTGCGCGGGCCCTTCAGGGCAAATCACTGCTGCACAGCCAGGCTGAGGTTTGCACAGCGTGGGAATTTACTTTAGTAAAAAGGAGCATAAAAATCGTTGTTTTGGGGCCGGTCCCTGAGGAAATCAACAAAAACCCGCTTTGTTGAAGGCTCTGGGGATGTTTCTCCAGCATCCCTCACGGATCAGGCACAGCACCAGGCTAAAAAACTGCTGGAGAAGCAGCAGAGCTGTGGGCAGTGAGAAAAGGGAGATAAAAAAGCAGATTTAAAAAGCAGATTTAAAAAGCAGATTTAAAGCAGCCTTGTCCAGCAGCCCTGGCTGGAAAGAGCTGTCACCACATGTCCTGCTGCTGCTGCTGCTTCTTCTTCTTGGGGCGTGGGGAGAGAGAGCAGTTCCTGGGGGGCACGCTGCACGGCTGCTGCAGCTTCTGTTCCTTCTGCCATCTCTTATCCGGCTTTTTCTGCTTCCTCTGCTCCTGGTGCTGAACCTCCAGATCGTTCTGCTCCAGGGGATTCTCCTCCAGGTCGTTCTTCTGCCTCTGTTCCAGGTTATTCTGCTCCAGGGGATTCTGCTCCCTCTGTTCCAGATTATTCTGCTTCTTCTGCCATCTCTTATCCATTTTTTTCTGCTTCCTCTGCTCTATCTCCAGATGATTCTGCTCCAGGTAATTCTGCTTCTTCTGCTTCCTCTGCTCCTGATGCTCTATTTCCAGATCATTCTGCTCCAGGTAATTCTGTTCCAGAAAATCCTGCTGCCTCTGCTCCAGACAATTCTGTTCTAGACAATTCTGCTTCTTCTGCTGTCTCTTATCCATTTTTTTCTGCTTCCTCTGCTCTATCTCCAGGTAATTCTGCTCCAGGTGATTCTGCTGCCTGTGCTCCAGGGCATTCTGCTCCAGACAATTCTGCTCCTGCCATCTCTTATCCGGCTTTTTCTGCCTCCTCTGCTCCTGCTGCTGAACCTCCAGATGATTCTGCTCCAGATCATTCTGCTGCCTCTGTTCCAGACAATTCTGCTGCTTCTGCTGTCTCTTATCCAGTTTTTTCTGCTTCCTCTGCTCCTGGTGCTCCTGCTCCTGGAGCTTCAGCTTCTTCTTCTTCTTCTGCTCCACACGGTTCTGTTCCTGATGCTCCAGCTGCTCTGTTTCCAGATGGTTCTGCTCCTGATGTTCCAGCTTGTTCTGCTTCAGATGATCGTGTTTCTTCTGCTTCCTCTGCTCCTGATGCTCCATCTCCTGGAGCTTTGGCTTCTTCTGCTGCCTCTGCTCCAGATGATTCTGTTCCAAATAATTCTGCTTTTTCTGCTGCCTCTGCTCCAGATTATTCTGCTCCTGATAATTCTGCCTTTTCTGCTTCCTCTGCTCCTGATGTTCCATCTCCTGGAGCTTTGGCTTTTTTGGCTTCCTCTGCTCCAGATGATTCTGTTCCAGATAATTCTGCTTTTTCTGCTGCCTCTGCTCCAGATGATTCTGTTCAAGATGATTCTGCTTCTTCTTCTTCCTCTGTTCCAGGTAATTCTGCTCCAGATGATTCTGCTCCTTCTCCTCCAGATTATTCTGCTTCCTCTGCTCCAGATGCTCCATTTCCAGATGTTTCAGCTTTTTCTGCTTCCTCTGCTCCAGATGTTCCTGCTGCTCCATCTTTTTCTGCCTCCTCTTCTCCTGCTGCTCCATCTCCAGATGATTCTGTTCCTGATGTTCCAGCTTTTTCTGCTTCCTCTGCCCCAGCCCCTGGGGCTGTCCCTGAGCCGTGGGGCCGGGCAGCCGCCCCTGCCTGGCACTGCCAGGGTCCCTGCAGGGAAATTGGGGGGTCAGGAACCCAAAAAGGGCTGCTGGGAGCACCCAGAGCCCCTCTTGGTGCACCCAGAGCCTTTCCTGAAGGGAAATTGGGGAGTCAGGAACCCAAAAAGGGCCGCTAGGAACACCCAGAGCCTTTCCTGAAGGGAAATTTGGAATCAGCACCCCAAAAAGAGTTGGTGGGAACACCCAGAGCTCTTCTTGGTGCACCCAGAGCCCCTCTTGGTGCACCCAGAGCCTTTCCTGCAGGAAACTGGGGAGTCAGGAACCCAAAAAGGGCTGCTGGGAACACCCAGAGCCCCTCTTGGTGCACCCAGAGCCTTTCCTGGAGGGAAATTGGGGAGTCAGGAACCCAAAAAGGGCTGCAGGGAGCACCCAGAGCCTTTCCTGAAGGGAAATTGGGGAGTCAGGAACCCAAAAAGGGCTGCTGGGAGCACCCAGAGCCCCTCTGGGTGCACCCAGAGCCTTTCCTGAAGGGAAATTGGGGAGTCAGGAACCCAAAAAGGGCTGATGGGAGCACCCACAGCCTTTCCTGAAGGGAAATTTGGAATCAGCACCCCAAAAAGAGTTGGTGGGAACACTCAGAGCTCTTCTTGGTGCACCCAGAGCCTGCCCCTGCAGACTGAACTTCCAGAGAGGCTCACTCTGCGTTTCTGACAGGAATCCCAGCAGGAATTTTCCATTTTCAGCAGGAATTCTCCACTCCCAGCAGGAACTGGGGAGGAGGGGAAGGAGCCACAGCTGTGCCACAGCTGTGCCACAGCTGGCAGCGGCTCCCAAACCGCTTTGCTGTTGGCATTTTGGCTCTGAACCACTTCTGGAAAGGTTTTTTGGGGTTTTTTTCACCCTTGCCAGAGCTGGGGGAGCTGCACTTGGAAAAATCCCAGCTGGAATCGTTCCCAAAGGGAGGGATTGGGGCAGGGGAAGGGGCAAACACCTACCTGGGCACTGCCAGGGGGGGCTGGGGGGGCTTTGCTGGGGCACTGCCTTTCCTCCTGAGCGGATCCGAGCCCAAACTCTTCAGCTCACAGCTGCTTTTGAAGGGAATTTGAAAGAGAATTCCAAAGTTTTCACTGGGAAAACGGAGTTCTTCACCCACTGAGTGCTCACACCCTGAAAGGAGGCCTGGGGGGGTTTTCCATCCAGCTCCAACCCAGAGTGGTTTGGGTTTTTGGAAAGGACCTTCAATCCCACCCAGGCACACCTTCCCCTACCCCAGGCTGCTCCTTGGAGCCTGCCAGGGATGGAGCACCCCAGATTTCCTGGGAATTCCATCCCAGCCCCTCCCAGGGAGGGATTTCTCCCCAGCACCCCACTGAGCCTGCCCTTGGTGGGTTCCAAACCATCTCCACCTGCCCTGGAAGATCTCCCAGATCCTTCCTGGAGCCTTGGTGAGCTCTGGGAGCTGCCCCAGGAGCTCCCTGGCACCCCAGGCCGAGCCTCAGGGGCTCCCTGGCACCCCAGGCCGAGCCCCAGGAGCTCCCTGGCACCCCTGGCACCCCAGGCTCACCTCTGGGCTCTCCTCTGCAGGTCCTGGATGTAGTTTCTTCTCTCCATGGGGTGCCCTCGAGCTTTGTTGAACACTGGGGACAGAGTTACCCCAACACACGTCACACCCTCGTGGCTGCTGAGCTGAAACCCTCCAAAAAAAATCTGCTTTGCACTTGGTTTTTAGCTAACTAAACAAAAAAAAACCTCCCAGAACTATAATTCTTCTTTTTCTTCAAAAACTCTAAATTAAAAACCCCAAAAAATACCTATAACCCACTAGAGCCTAAGACATTACAATCCAAAAAAGCTCATAATAAGCTTTGATATAATAAAAATATATTTATATTTTTATAAAACATATTATTTAATAATAAATATATATAACATATAATACATTATTTATATATTATTTATATAGTAAACGCCAAAAAAGCTAATAAAAAGTTTTAATACAATAAAAATATATTTATATATTTTAGATAATATATTACTTAATAATAAACATATATAATATTATCTATATAATAGTATATATTATATAAATAATATATATATTAACAGAAGTTATTTTATTTATATATTATTTATTTATTAAATATATTTATATTATTTATATTATATATAAATATATTTATTTATATCTTTATTAACAAAAGTTAATAAAGAATTCAGCAAACCACAAAAAAAACCTTCCTAAATTTACCATTTCTTCAAAACAACAAGAAGTTCTATTGTTTAAAACTATTCACTTTTCATACTTATACACACTTAAATTAGCAATATTTTACACTTTTCTCAAAAAAAAAAAAAATTCCCAAATAAGAAGAAAAGCTACTTAAACCTATTAAAAAAAAAAAAACAAAAACCCTTGTTTAAAAGTTTGCTCCCAAAATGTTTGGAGCCATCCCAAAAATCCCCCAGCCCAGCAGGACACTCACACTCTATGGCAGTATTGGGCTCCATGCCTTCCACCTCAATCAGGTACCTGAAAGAGCAGCAAGATTAATTAATTACACAATTAATTAGAAAAACACTGACGGGCTGGTGACCACTCAAACACAAAAAAACAAAAAAAAAAGGGAGTTTTAAACCTTTTATTTACGAAAAATCAGCGTTGAGTGCTGAATTTTGGGATGAAAAACAGCCCCTAACAAAAGCTGTGAATCCTTGCAAGTCCGGGGTGACAAAAATCAAAAATCACTCCACAAAAACTCCTCCTGGAACTGCCAGCCCAGAGTTTGGGGCAGAACTCACCTGCACACCAGGTAGCCAGTCCTGTTCAGGCCGTGCGTGCAGTGCACCCCGATGAGTTTGTCTGCAACACACACAGGGACACGGAGCTGCTTTTCCCAAAAATCCCCCCAGAACGAGCCCAATTTGTGGCCAATTTTTGAGAAATTATTGCAAATTTTTGCCATTTTTTTTGCTAATTTATTGCCCACTTACTGCCAATTTACAGCATATTTATTTTTATATTACAGCCAAATTTATTGCCAATTTTTTTCCAACTTATTGCCAACATTGCCAATTTCTGGCAACTTATTGGTAACTTATTGCCAATTTATTACCAACTTATTGCGAATTTCTTGCCAATTTCTGCCAATTTATTGCCAACTTATTGCTATTTTTTCGCCAATTTTTGGCAACTTATTGCCAATTTATGGCCAACTTACTGTCAATTTATTACCAGCTTATTGCCAATTTCTTGCCAACTTATGGCCAGTTTTTTGCCAATTTATGGCCAGTTTTTTGCCAACTTATGGCCAGTTTTTTGCCAATTTATGGCCAACTTATTGTCAATTTATTACCAACTTATTGCCAATTTCTGCCAGTTTTTTGCCAACTTACTGCCAGTTTTTTTGCCAACTTATGGCTGATTTATTGCAAATTATTGCCAAATTTTTTTTTGCCAATTTTTTACCAACACTGCCAGATTTTGCCAACTTACTCCAAATTTTGCTGCCAATTTTTGGCCAAATTTTTACCAACTTATTGCCAATTTTTGGCTAATTTATTGCCAATTTTTGCCGATTTTTTGCCGATTTTCCCCGTGCCATGCCCAGGCCAGGGACGCTCACCGTTGTCCCCGTTGTCCTCCAGGAATTTCCCCACCAGGTAGCGGAACCTCATGAAAGATTTCCTGCCGGGGACCTGGTGGCCCATGGTCGGGACCTTGGCGTGGCACAGCGCCGGTGGCAGCTCCTGGGGGAAAAACAGGGATTTCCAGGAAAATTTACAGAAAAAAAAACGGAATTCCCATTAGTTACACAGTCATGGGGCAGCAGCTCCTGAGAGAAAAATGGCAATTTCCAGGAAAATTTCCAGAAAAAACACCAAATTCCTGTTAGTTACAGTCACAGGGCAGCAGCTCCTGGGGCAAAAACAGGGATTTCCAGGAAAATTTCCAGAAAAAACACCAAATTCCCATTAGTTACACAGTCACAGGGGATAAACCAGGGAAAACCAGCTTTCCTCACCCAAAAATTCCTGTTAATTACAAAGTCACAGGGGATAAACCAGGAGAAAAGTTTTTCCTCATGCAAAAATTCTTACTAATTAATGAGTCACAGGTGATAAACCAGAAAAAGATGAGTGTTCCTCACACAAAAATTCTTATTAACTAAAGAATTATGGGTGATAAAACAGAGAAAACCAGTTTTCTTCACACAAAAATTCTTATTAATTACACAATCCCAGGGAGCCATTTTTGAGGAGAATTCCCCAGTTTTGAGCACTGAGCTGTTCCCTCAGGAGAGCCCAAACTCCAGCTCAACAGCATCCCCAGATTTGGGCTGGTTCAGAGGATTTGGGGGCTGGAGAATGGATCCCTGGCCTGAAAGGTTCCCCCTCAGCCCTGGCAGAGGATCCCAGCTCCTGCCTCCCTCCCAGGGAGCCGTTTTTGAGGAGAATTCCCCAGTTTTCAGCGCTGACCTCACGCCCGTAGTAGCGCGTGGTGAAGGTCAGGTCGATGATCAGCCCCAGCTCCTCCTTCCTCTCCTGCACCTTCCTGATGAGGTCCTGAGGGGAAAATCTCTCTGCTGGCAGGAGGTTGTGATCAAAGCCCTGCAGGGAAAGATGGTTTAAAGCAGTTATTAAAATCTGAGGGGTGGGAGAGGCTGCTGCTCTGGAGCATCCTGGAGATCAGGCAAGCAGCAAAGGCTGCAGCAGGAAATCACAGTTTGGTCACTGAATTCTGGGGTTGTCTGGGTGAAAAGAACATTTAAATCACCCATTTTATGGATTTCCTCAGAGCTTTGGGCTGCTCAGCTGGGAGCTGCCAGGGGTGAGTGACAGCTCCCAGCCAAGCCCCGCAGTGACAAACACTCAGAGCAGCTTTGCTGGTGGAAAAGCTCCTGCTCCAAATATTCCTGGGCAGCTGCAACATCTCTCTGCCCTTCTCAGGAAGAAATTATTCCTCATGTCCACCCTGCAGCTCACTCCTCTCCTCCCATCCCGCTCCCTGGAGCAGAGCCCAGCTGCTGCCACACCGACCCTTCCCAGAGCCCCCCCTGGATTTGGGGGTCAGGAATTCCCCCAGGGAGCCCCCCCAGCCCCGCTGGTGCCCCCCTCACCTTGCTCAGGGGCACCTTGAAGGCCACGAAGCGCGTGCCCGGCACCCGCCGGCCCAGCGGGGCGTACTTCGTCCACCTGAGCCCACGGTTGGGGGGTCAGGCGGGGCAGGGACCCCCGGCCCGGCCCCCCAGCACCCCCAGACCCAGCACCATGGCCCCCCCCCCGGCCAGGGAACCCCGAATTCACCGGCACGGAGAGCCCCACGGTACCCACAGCCCCCACTGCTGTGAGAGCCTCACAATCCCCCACAGCCACCAAAATCCCCACCCTGGGGACCCTCCAAACCCTGTCCAGCCCAGGGACCCCCAAATTCCTGACAGTCCTGGGGACCCCCAAATTCCTGTCCAGCCCAGAGACCCCTAAATTCCTGCTAGTCCTGGGGACCCCCCAAACCCTGTCCAGTCCAGAGACCCCCAAATTCCTGCCAGTCCTGGGGACCCCCCAAACCCTGTCCAGCCCAGGCACCCCCAAATTCCCCCTGGCCTGGGGACCCCCCAACTCTGGCCAGCCCAGGGACCCCCAAGTTTGAAGCCCGGGTACCTTCAAACCCTGCGGCCCCAGAGCCCCTCACACCCCAGAGCCCCTCACACCCGGACCCCTCAGACCTGGATCCCCTCACCCCTGGGTCCCTTCAGCCCCTCTCCCCCCACCCCACGGCACCCCTGTGACGGCGCGGCCGGGCTGTGTGTGCCCCGGCCGGGCTGTGGCGGTGCCGGTCGGTGCCGGTCGGTGCCGGTTGGTGCCGGTTGGGGCCGGTTGGTGCCGGTCGGTGCCGGTCGGTGCCGGCCGCTCTCACCGCTCCGGGACGCGCCAGCCTCCCCTGCCCACCATGATGGCGACGCCGCCGGCACGCACCTGACGTCACTTCCGGCACGCGCGGAGCGGCGCTGGCCACGCCCCCGCGTTGAGACCCCGCCCATCGCAGGGAGGCCACGCCCCTCGAGGCGTCCCAGGGCGATCGCGCCGCGTAGCGGCCACGGGCGGTACTGCAGCCACGGGGCGGGACCGGACCGGGACAGAACCGGGACCGAACCGGGACTGAAAAGGGACCGAACCGGGGCCACCGAACGGGGACAGAACCGGGACAGAACCGGGACTGAACAGGGACCGAACCAGGGCCACCGAACGGGGACAGAACCGGGACAGAACCGGGACAGAACCGGGACTGAACAGGGACCGAACCGGGACCGAACCGGGACAGAGCTGGGACAGAACCGGGACTGAACAGGGACCGAACCGGGACTGAACAGGGACCGAACCGGGACCGAACCGGGACAGAGCTGGGACAGAACCGGGACTGAACAGGGACCGAACCGGGACTGAACAGGGACCGAACCGGGGCCACCGAACGGGGACAGAACCGGGACTGAACAGGGACCGGACCGGGGTACCGAACCGGGACAGAACCGGGACAGAACCGGGACAGAACAGGGACCGAACCGGGACTGAACCGGGACTGAACAGGGACTGAACCGGGACAGAACCGGGGACCGGTGGGGAACTGCTGTGGGAAATCGTGGGGAATGGTGGTGGGGATGGGAAATCATCAAATGGGAATGGGGATGGGAAATCCTCGTGGGAATGGGAAATTATTTTGGGGATGGGAAATGATTGTGGGGAAGGGAAATGATTGTGGGATGGGAAATCCTCATGGGAATGGGAAATGATTTTGGGGATGGGAAATCATCTCGTGGATATGGAAGATGATTGTGGGGATGGGAAATCATCATCGTGGACATGGGAGTCGGGGTGGGATGGGAAATCCTCGTGGGAATGGGAAATCCAGGCTGGAGTTAGGAAATCACCGTGGGAACGGGAAATGGAGGTTGGGAAACCATCGTGGGAACGGGAAATCACGGTGGGAAACCATCCCCGGCATCCCCAGCGTGGGCAGCCAGCGCTCCCTTGCCGGCCACAGAAATCCTGAAAATCCCGAAAATCCCAGGATTTCCTGGCTCGGGATGGGACAAACCGAACCGGGACAGGATTTTCCCGTGCCCAACATCCCATTCCCGAGCGGGTGGTGGGGATGAGCGTGGAAAAAGCCGGCGGCACCCCCAGCTTGGGGGGGAAAAGCCCTTTCCAGAGCAGGGGAGCGGCCGCATCAGCATCCCCGCCGGGGGAAGGGCCGGTCCGACCCGCCAGGCCGGGCAGGGTCGCGGCTCTCGGGGTGCCCCGCGGCCGTCTGGGCACAGAGATCCGGCCCAGCCTGTAATTAGCGCTCGGAGCAGGATCCGGACCCTGGGAAGGAGCCGCGGCCGCCTCGGGCCGTGGGACAGGCTGAGGCTGGAGCTCATCTCAGCCCCGGCTGGGTCTCGGTGCCCCTCTCCACGTTCTCCTCCTTCTTTCTTCTCCTCGTTGCTCCCCCGGCTCTCAGGATGCTTCCCCAGGATTGATTCTGTGATTCTGACCCCCGGGTGCCCCATCCACACACGAGCATCCCCCAAAAAGGGCTGTCCCACCCCCCAAGCCACGCCCCAAATCCCAAATCCCTCCTTCCAAGCTGGCTGCGGTGGGCTCCATCACCCTCCAGCCCAAGCACAGGGGGTGCAGCCCCCTCCCCAAAACTCGGGGGAAGCTTTGCCGTGGGTCTGGGTGACTCAGGGGTGCCGGGGCTTGCGAAACAGGCAGGGATGGTTTGGGAGACGCCTCCACGCAGCCCCGCCAAGCCCCGGGGAGCCCGTGGGGGGAACAAGCCAGGGCAGCGTCTGAGCTCCGCGGACCCGTCAGGCCGGTTCCCGGAGCAGCGAGAGAGCCGGGCATGATCCTGCGTCCGCTCGGAGGCTGAGCGAGCCCCCGGCCCTGCGAGACCCCAAACTGTGAGCCCCCGGCCCTGCGAGACCCCAAACTGTGAGCCCCCACCCCTGCGAGCCCCAACCCTGCGAGCCCCAACCCTGCGAGCCCCCAAACTGCGAGCCCCCAAACTGCGAACCCCAACCCCGCAAACCCCCAAACTGCAAACCCCCAACCCTGCGACCCCCAAACTGCGAGCCCCCAACCCTGTGACCCCCAGCCCCGAGAGCCCCCGGCCGCCGAGAGCCCCCGCCGGAGCCATGCGGGCGGCCGGGCTGCTGCTGCTGACCTGGGCACTGCTGCTGGGCACCGCTGCCAGCCAGCAGTGCCACCCCGCCGGCCCCGCCGCCGTCCTGCGCTTCACCGACCGGCACGCCGAGCTGCGGGTGCCCGCGCTGCACCGCGTGCCCAGCTCGCTGGATCCCCTCTACGGCCTCGTCCGGCGCTGCCTGGACCTCATCCAGCAGAACCCGCTGCCCACAGGTGAGCCCCGAGCCTCGGCAGCAGGCTGGGTTGGCAGGGAAATGAGATTTATTCGGCTGCATCTTCCTCCTGGTTCTTGTAGCTGGGCTGCTCGAAATGACAGATAAATAGTGAGTGGTAGAGGGCTTCGCCTCAAAAGAAATGTTTGTTGTAGATCCATCAATATCCCCGTTCCTTGCTGGGATGTGGATGGGTTAAAAATGGGAGGATCTTTGAGTCAATGGTAAATCCCCCATGAATAATCCAGAAAATTGTCCTAAACCAACTGGAGAGCACTCTGTTTACCAGGGGAAAAAATAAAAGTGGGGATGAGCTGGAAAGCGATTCCTCACCTCAAGGAAAGGGATCCCGCTGCTGCAGGGACTCGGGCATTGTGCTGGCTGCGATCCCCACGTCCTGGACTGGCTCCTGGGGTCCCCAGGGTTCAGAAGAGGATTCAGCCTCTGTCCCAGAGCAGCTCCAGGGGTCCCCAGGGGTTCAGCCTCTGCCCCAGAGCAGTTCCAGGGGTCCCCAGGGGTTCAGCCTCTGCCCCAGAGCAGTTCCAGGGGTCCCCAGGGGTTCAGCCTCTGTCCCAGAGCTGTTCCAGGGGTCCCCAGGGTTCAGAAGAGGGCTCAGCCTCTGTCCCAGAGCAGTTCCGGGGGTCCCCAGGGGTTCAGAAGAGGGCTCAGCCTCTGCCCCGGTGCTGCTGCCCCAGAAGGTTGGGGATGCACGGCTGGGCCCCTCTGCCTGTTCCTTGATGTCTTTTTCCGCAGAGCTGCTCAGGACAGCGCTGAACGAGCCCGGCTCGGTGCGGACAGCGCAGGTGAGCGGGGCTGTGGGGCGGGCGATGCCACGGGGGCCATTTCCACATGGCACAGGGCAGTGGGGCGCTCGGAGCGCCCCGAGCTCGCTGCAGAGGTGCCAATGGGGCTCTCCTGCGGCTCAGGTGGTGCAGTACGAGCTGGGCTATGTCGTCTGTGCCGCCGTGGCTCTGCTCTTCGCCGTGGCCGTGCCGGTGGCCGGGATGTGCTTCTGCTACTGCCGGAGCCGGCGGCGGTGCGGGGGCCGCCTCCGCGCCCACCGGCGCTCGCTGGGCTGCCGCCGCCGCTGCCTGCTGGCCTGCCTGTCCCTCACCTCCCTCGTCATGCTGTGAGTGCCCCGAATCGCCCCCAAAACCGCGCCGGGTGTGGGTCACCGCATTTCGGTCAGCGCCCGCTGGTTCCCCGCAGGGTCAGCGCCTGCTGCGCCCTGGTCAGCAGCCAGCGGGTGAAGGGGCAGATGGAGCCGGGGCTGGGGGCCGTGCCCTCCACCCTGCGCACCCTACAGCAGCACCTGGACAACGTCCCCCAGGTGGGTCCCCAGGTGGGCGGCCTCGCCCGTCACCCAGGGGTGGCCGCGTTTCCCTCCGGGGATAGTTGGGTGTAATTTCCCTCCACACAGCCCCCCGAATGAATCCGACCAGCTCAGAGATATGGGGCTGTGAGGGGAGGAATTCCAGGAGAGGGAAAAGTATTCAAAAGAGGCTCTTACCCCAGGGAAGTTGGAATAGCTCTCTTTATTCTGTGGTGTCCATGGAGAGCGGGGCAAAAGAGAGGAAGAGCAGGAAGTTTTAGGGGTCTATATAGGTTTTGGACAGGGTGGGCTCTCCTGACTCCCTGCCAACCCCGTTGGGGCAGGAAGGAGGATCCAGGGGTTATCCTGATCAGAGCCACAGAGGCCCGGGGAAAGGGGGGACAAAAGGGTGTCCAGGAACTCACCGTAACAGTTGGGCAGGCAAGAGGAGAGAGGTGCTGCATTAAAAATGTATTTCGAGTGGCAGCGCGGGGCTCCTTCCGCTGCCCGGGGCTGACCGGCCCCTCTTTCCCGGCAGGGCGTGCAGATGGCGGTGGACAAGTTCGAGGTGCCCCGAAAGCAGATCCTCTCCGACCTGGGGGGTAAGCGTGGCACCGGCGGCGCCCCGAGCCCGCGGTGGGGATGGATGCGGTGCTGATGCTGCCACGGTGCCTTGCAGGGCTCAGCCGGAGCGTGGGGCTCTCCATCCACGCGCAGCTCAGCGCCGTGACCTACGCGGCGCTGGCGGATCTGCAGGACAGGGCCGCAGGTACCGGAGCGGGGCACCGACAGCGGGGCCGAGGCCTCGGCGGGGCGGCTGAGGGCAGCAGCGTGACCGAGCCCTGGGTTTCTCTTTCAGAGCTGCAGGCCTCGCTGCAGCATCTGCAGACGGTGCACAGCATGGCGCGGGCGCTGGCGGCGGCGCAGGCCGAGCTGGAGCCGGCGCTGCGCGAGCGGAGGCGCGGCGCGGTCGCGCTCCTGGACGACCCTCGCTGCACCTCCTGTGCCAGCGCCCTGGGCAGGGCACAGCGCCTGCAGCTGGGCGCCGACTTCGCCAAGGTGGGCACGGGCTCCTGGTCCCACACCACCTCCCCGTGCCGCTGCCCCGCGGCTCACGGGCTCCTTCCGCCACCCCAAGGTGCCGTCGGTGGAGAAGGTGTTGAAGGCGCTGGCCGGCCTGCCCCGAAGTGACTTTGCGGAGATGATTCGACAGGTTGGGGGGTCGGAGTGAAGCATGGCGGGATCCAGGACCCGCAGGCAGCTCCAGCTGAGGTGCTCAGCACCCCCTCTTTCCCTGCAGGGCAATGGCACCTTCAACTCCATCCCGGAGCTGGCCGTGGAGAGGATGGCGCAGCTCATCCAGGGTGAGTGGGGCTGCCACAACGCGTGGGGACATCCTCCATGTGGGGAATCCTCCTGGGGACATCCTCCATGTGGGGAATCCTCCTGGGGACATCCTCCATGTGGGGAATCCTCCTGGGGACATCCTCCATGTGGGGAATCCTCTTGGGGACGTCCTCCACGTGGGGAATCCTCTTGGGGACATCCTCCATGTGGGGAATCCTCCTGGGGACATCCTCCACGTGGAGAATCCTCCTGAGGACATCCTCCATGTGGAGAATCCTCCTGGGGACATCCTCCATGTGGGGAATCCTCCTGGGGACATCCTCCATGTGGAGAATCCTCTTGGGGACATCCCCTTTGTGGAGAATCCTCCTGGGGACATCCTCCATGTGGGGAATCCTCTTGGGGACATCCTCCACTAGGGGAATCCTCTTGGGGACATCCTCCACGCGGGGAATCTTCTTGGGGACATCCTCCATGTGGGGAATCCTCCTGGGGACATCCTCCATGTGGAGAATCCTCCTGGGGACATCCTCCATGTGGGGAGTCCTCTTGGGGACATGCTCCATGTGGGGAATCCTCTTGGGGACATCCTCCACACGGGAAATCCTCCTGGGGACATCCTCCATGTGGGGAATCCTCCTGGGGACATCCTCCATGTGGGGAATCCTCTTGGGGACATCCTCCATGTGGGGAATCCTCCTGGGGACATCCTCCATGTGGGGAATCCTCTTGGGGACATCCTCCATGTGGGGAATCCTCTTGGGGACATCCTCCATGCGGGGAATCCTCCTGGGGACATCCTCCACGTGGGGAATCCTCCTGGGGACATCTTCCACGTGGGGAATCCTCCTGGGGACATCCTCCACGTGGGGAATCCTCTTTGGGACATCCTCCATGTGGGGAATACTCTTGGGGACATCCTCCATGTGGAGAATCCTCCTGGGAACATCCTCCATATGGGGAATCCTCTTGGGGACATCCTCCATGTGGGGAATCCTCTTGGGGACATCCTCCACGTGGGGAATCCTCCTGGGGATGTCCTCCATGTGGAGGATACTCTTGGGGACATCCTCCATGTGGGGAATCCTCTTGGGGACATCCTCCATGTGGGGAATCCTCCTGGGGACATCCTCCATGTGGGGAATCCTCCTGGGGGACACGGGGTGGGGTGCAGGGAGCATCCCCCCGTCCAGCCCAGCCTTGGCCCCGCAGATCTGCGTGCCGACCTGGCCCGCACGGCGGAGAAGGTGCAGTCCATCGCCGACAGCTTCCCGCTGCCGGACTACACGCGGCCCGCGAGCGAGGCGCTGGCGGAGGCGGAGCGGCGGAGCCGGCCGTACCTGCGGGAGGCGCGGCGCTTCGAGCGCTACAGGTGAGCCGGGAACGGCCCCGAGCCCCCGGCGCCTCAGCCCCGCTGCTGGCTGGAGGCTGTGCCCGCTGCTCTTCCCCCCAGGTGGATCGCGGGCACGGTGCTGTGCTCCATCATCCTCCTCATCCTCGCCTGCAACGTGACGGGAATGGCCCTGGGGGCCTACGGGCTCTCCAAGCGGGAGGACCCCAGTGACTACGAGTGCCGAGGAGAAGCTGGCGCCAAGTTCCTCCTGGTGTAAGCCTCTCTGGGGGCTGGGGGGCTGCTCCATCTCACAGTACCCCCAAAAAAATCCAGGCAAAGCCAAAGGATGGGTTGGGAGAGGTCCCACGGAAAAAGTTTGGAAGTGGCCGCCCGCGCCGGCGGCTTTGGGAGAAGCTGCTCCTCCCTGGGAGCCCGGCCCCGCTGCCTGGCACACCCCGCTGCCAGCCCTGCCCTGCCCGGCGTGCCCGGCGTGCCCGGGCTGGGGACGGAGCCGCGGGGCTGCAGCTGGCAGGGCAGGTCCCTTCCTGCCCGCTCGGGGCTGCCGAGCCACCAGCAGCCGCCTCCTCTCCCTCTTCCAGCGGCGTGGCCTTGGCTTTCCTGTTCTCCTGGCTCCTCATCCTCCTGGTTTTCGCCACCTTCCTGGTCGGGGGCAACATCCAGACGCTGGTCTGCAGGAATTGGGTCAACCAGGAGATTTATAAGGTGGGTGGCCACACATCCGCCCATCGCCCTGGAAATCTCTCCTTCCGTGCACCAAAACACCTCCAAGGGCTCTGTGTCTTCTCCCTAAACCCGACTGGAAAAACCCAGTCCTAGACCAGAAGATTAAGTTTAGGATTAGCGCCTCGGATTTGCATCATCAGCTGGGAATCACCTTTGTGCTGTTAATTCACCTGCTAATTGCTGTTCCCTGGTCCTTGGGCACCCCTGGGGTGCTGGGGAAGGCAGCTCGGGGTGGTGGGGCTGGGAGAGGGACTGGGGCCGTGGGGCTGGGAGAGGGACTGGGGCCGTGGGGCTGGGCTTGGGGTGGTGGGGCTGGGAGAGGGACTGGGGCCGTGGGGCTGGGCTCGGGACTGTCCCCATGGCAGTGCCACACGTGGGCAGGCCCCTCCCAACACACCCGGCGAGGCTCCGCCGGGGCAATGCCCCAGTAAAGCCAAAATCAGTTCAGGCTGTGAGGAGCTACCCCAGGATACCCCAGCGAGGGCAGAGCACCCCCAGACCCCTGCTGGGAGCGCCCCTGACCCCACTTTTCCTCCTGTTCGGCCCAGTTCATCGACACCCCCGGGAACCTCCCTCCGTCCATGAACCTCAGCCGCCAGCTCAACCTCAGGAGGGATTCCAACCTCAGCTCGGCGTACCGGTGAGACCCGCAGGAGCTGCCCCGTGCAGCCAGGGCGGCTTTGGCACCGCTCTGCCAACGCCCCTGTGCCCTGCAGGGAGTGCAAGGGCGGCGCAGGGCTCTGGGAGGTGCTACAGCTCGACAGCTCCTACGACCTGGACGAGCACCTGAGGACCCCCAAGGTGAGGGTTGGCTCCAGGCAGAGCTGCTGCTCGGGCAGGGGGACACAGCAGCTGTACTGGGCTGACTGGGAGCCCTGCAGAACGCCCCGTCCCACCCTACAGTACACGGCTGATCTCCAAAAACGCCTGGGAGGCTTCACAGTGAGCCTGGGGGACGTGCGGCTCCTCCGCAGCGAGGGCAGGCAGGACCTGGAGACCTTCGCCCGCAGCGGGCTGGACGAGCTGGACTACGGGCGCTTCCAGGAGGAGGTGAGGGGTGTCCCCGTGAGCCAGACCCCGCTGCTGGACGTGGGGCTGGGATTTGGGCAGCCCCCGACTCTGTTTCCCCGCAGCTGCAAAACCCCGTGGTGCAGACCAGCCTGCCCGGCTTGGCCAGGAGCCTGGAGGGGCTGCAGAAGATGCAGGTGAGCGGTGGGGTGGGCAGAGGGGGGTCCTGGAGCCCTCGGGGGTGGCAGGGCAGGGCTGACCCCGCTGTGCCCCGCAGAGGAACGGCACGGTGGCCGGGCGGCTGGCAGCCGAGGCGCGGGCGCTGTGGCACATGCAGAACTCCACGGTGCGGGCGCAGGAGGCTTTGGTGGTGAGTCCCTGCTGGGCTGGTGGCAGCGGTGCCACTGGCACGCCCTTGAAGGGGACAACCTTGAGGTTTCTGAGCCTTTCTCACCTCCCTGTCCCGCAGGCAAAGCTGGGGGAAAGCGTCCAGTTCCTCTCCCGCTTGGCACCGCACCTCAAGGTACTCACGCGTCTCTTCCAGCCCCAAAAAACTCACAGTGCTCCATGGCTCCCATCTGCCAAAAACAAAAAAAAATACAGCTGCAGGGTGATGGGAGAGCCAGGGAAAATGCCAGCCAGGAGAATCGGTCTCCTTTAGGGATTGGATTCGCTGTTGCAAAGCAGAAATCTCCCTGCTAAGGGGTTTTCCTGCTCAGGGCACATCCCCCTGTCCCTGCTCTCAGCACCCAGAGCCAATTTGGGGCTGCTCCCTGCACCCCCGGGCACCCACCCCGCTGCTGCGGGCCCTGAGGGTGCTCTGCCCTCCCTGTGCTTCCCCAGGAGCGGGTGAGGAGGACGCTGGCCACCACGGCCTCGCTGGAAGCCCGGCTGCCCCTGCAGGCCCAGCAGATCCTGCGGCAGGTGAGGCGGGCTGGGTGAACCAGCCGGGGGGAAAGAGGGAGAAGAGGGAACCGGGAGCCTTCAGCCTCGTGTGCCGGCCTGAATGAGCCCGGAGAGAGGCTGGGGCCGGGCTGGGAAGTGTGGGAATGGAACAGGGCTGGGAATGCAGGGTTAAATCCAGGCTGGGAATGAGGGGTTAAATCCAGGCTGGGAATGAGGGGTTAAACCCAGGCTGGGAAGTGCAGGGCTGAATCCCAACTGGGAAGTGCAGGGTTAAATCCAGGCTGGGAAGTGCAGGCCTGAATCCAGACTGGAAAAGTCCAGGGTTAAATCCAGACTGGGAAGTGCAGGCCTGAATCCAGACTGGAAAAGTCCAGGATTAAATCCGGGCTGGGAATGTGGGCCTGAATCCGGACTGGGAAAGTGCGGGGTTAAATCCAGGCTGGGAATGCGGGGCTGAATCCGGACTGGAAAAGTCTGGGATTAAATCTGGGCTGGGAATGCAGGGCTGAATCCAGACTGGGAAGTGCAGGATGGAACCAGGCTGGGAAGTGCAGATTAAATCCAGGCTGGGAATACGGGATTAAATCCGGACTGGGAAGTGCAGGGCTCTCCCTCCATGCTGCCTTCCTTCCCCTGCCCAGGAGCTCGGCTGCTTCACCAGGAAGGAGCTGCGGTATTTCACCCAGTACCTCAACTGGGTCGGGCAGACGGTGAGAGCTCCCCACCACCCCGTGGGGGTTTTTGGGGTGCAGGAGCCCCAGCAGAATGGCCTGACGCCTTGTTCCGCTCCTCCTTGCAGCTGAGGGAGGACGTGGCTTCGTGCCAGCCGCTGGCCACGGCCCTGGACAACGGGCGGGTCATCCTGTGCGACCGCATCGCCGAGCCCTGGGTAGGGATCCCCCTTGATCGGGGAGCACCGAGGCTCCCCAAACCCTCCGGAGCCCAGGGCTGCCCCTCGTGTGCTCAGCGCGGTGGGTTCTCCTTGCAGAACGCCTTCTGGTTCAGCCTGGGCTGCTGCACCTTCCTCCTCATCCCCAGCATCATCTTCGCCGTCAGGCTCACCAAACACTTCCGCCCCATCCGCAACCGCCTCATGTGAGCGGCGGCCGGGCCGGGGGACACGGGGGGACACGGGGGGACACGGGGATGGGAGGACAAGGAGATGGGCAGGACATGGGGGACGAGGAGGACAAGGACATGGGGAGAAAAAGGAGATGGGCAGGACACGGGGGACGAGGACACAAGGACACAGGGGGACGAGGGGGACAAGGAGATTGGGAGAAAAAGGGGATGGGGGGACAAGGGGACACAGGGATGGAAGGACAAGGGATCAGGGAGGAAACGGGATGAGGAGGACAAGGAGATGGGGAGAAAAAGAGGATGGGGAGGACACGAGGACGAGGGGCGCAAGGGGACAGAGAGGACAAGGAGATGAGGGGACACGGGGGACGCAGGGAGGGAAGGACAAGGGGACAGGGAGGACACGGGGCAGGAGGAGAAGGAAATGGGAGGACACGGGGACAAGGAGATGGAGAGGGCCCAGGGAGGACAAGGGGGAGATGGAGCAGGAGGACATGGTGACAAGGGGGACACAGGGACAAAGGGGACAAGGAGATGGGAGGACAAGGGGACAAGGGGGACAAAGGGATGGGGAGGGTACAGGGATGGGGGTGTGAATCCTCCCTGACCACCCCTCGGGCTATCTCCTTCTCTCCCGCAGCTCCACGGGGTCAGAGGAGACCTGTCCCTTCCACATCCCCCGTGTCACAGCGCTCAAGCTCTAGGACGGGGCTCTGCCGGGTGCGGCGCCCCAGGAGCTGCCACAAACCCAAACCCAAACCCAAACCCAAAGCCAAACCCAAACCCAAACCCAAACCCAAAGCACCAAGCGGTGCCAAAGCCCCGTGGGGCTCCGGATCCCTCTGACGTCTCTTTCTTGGTGTCCTTTGGGGTCTGGCGTCCTTCCCGGGCGTGGGAAGTGCAGGAATTGGGAGATTTGGGATCTCTGGGGGGCTCCCGGCTGAGCCCGGCTGGAAGGGGAGGCTCCGCCACCCCTCTGACACCCCACAGCCATCCCCCACTGCCAGCACCCCCGGGCCCTGCGGGGCACATTAAAATCCTCCCCTAAAAAGCTGCCCCTGGCTCTTGTTCTCACCCTCCATGTCCCCATTACCCGCGGGAAATGGCTCTGGGGGGCTTTGGAGTGAGGGGAGCCATGGCTGAGGGGTTTTGGGGTGAGGGGAGCCCATGGCTGAAGGGTTTTGGGGTGAGGGGAGCCACAACTGAGGGGTTTTGGGGTGAGGGGAGCCACGGCTGAGGGGTTTTGGGGTGAGGGGAGCCCATGGCTGAGGGGTTTTGGGGTGAGGGGAGCCACAGCTGAGGGGTTTTGGGGTGAGGGGAGCCATGGCTGAGGGGTTTTGGGGTGAGGGGGCTGCAGGGCCAAGGGGTTCTAGGGTGAGGGGAGCCCACGGCTGAGGGGTTTTGGGGTGAGGGGAGCCCATGGCTGAGGGGTTTTGGGGTGAGGGGAGCCCATGGCTGAGGGGTTTTGGGGTGAGGGGAGCCACAGCTGAGGGGTTTTGGGGTGAGGGGAGCCATGGCTGAGGGGTTTTGGGGTGAGGGGAGCCACAGCTGAGGGGTTTTGGGTGAGGGGAGCCATGGCTGAGGGGTTTTGGGGTGAGGGGAGCCACAGCTGAGGGGTTTTGGGGTGAGGGGAGCCATGGCTGAGGGGTTTTGGGGTGAGGGGGTGACAGGGACACGAATGGCCCAAACCCCATGGCAGCCCCATCTCCACTCCCTTAATAACCCCACTGCAGGGGTGAGACCCCTCCTGGCCTCGAGGTGCTGTTAATTAGAGCTTAATTAGAGCTGGGGGCTGCGGGCTGAAGCTGCAGGTGAAGGTGGGGTTTGCTGTGGGTACAACCACGGGATGGTTTGGGTTGTAAGGGACACTAAAAATCCCCTTGATCCATCCCCTGGCGTGGGCAGAGGGCTCTGCCCAACATCCCAAGGAATCCCAGCCCGTTATCTCCCCGTCTGTGACTTTTTTTTGTATGAAATTCCTGCTTTTCATTCAGATCCTTCACCCCTGGTTTGGCAGGGCTTTGTCCAACCAGGAAATTATTCACCAAATCCATCCGGGGGTTTGCAGATGCACCAAATGATGATTTCCCTCCCCATCAATGCTCTCTGTCTGCCAGCCGAGAGAGAAATGCCCCATTTTTATGCATTATTTATAGGGTTTTTTAATTCTATGATAGGCTTTTCCTACCCACAGCCACCAGTAGTAAAAACACCTGGTTTATACATTATTTAGGTTTTTGCTGCCCGGGGTTTTAAGCAGTTCTTCAGCAGATGTCAGCATTGGGAAGGTTTTTTTCCAAAGGGATTTGGAGTAGAAACCCCAAAAAGATTTCTGCAGGAGGCCTCATCCCCAGGGATGTCCTCAGCCCACATGGAAACCATCTGAGGGGTTTTTCTATCTCACTTCATCTGGAGCTGTGTTCTGTGATTTTCTTTTCTCTATCTCATTTTATCTGTATCTGTGATTTTTCTTTTCCCTATCTCACTTTATCTGGAGCTGTGATCTTTGATATTTTTTCTCTATCTCACTTTATCTGGATCTGTGATTTTCTTTTCCCTATCTCACTTTACCTGACACTGTGCTCTTTGCCTTTTAATCACTTAATTAACTGGCGTTGATTAACCCACTCCCCATCTCCAGCCCCCCTTGGAATTCAGCCCCTGGCACACCTCACCTCGCCGCTGCTGCCCCGGGAAGTGTCTATAATCCATAAATAATCAATAATTCAGAGGGCTGCAGCTCTGGCAGCTCTGCCCAGCCCAGGTGCTGCTGCCCAGCTCCTGTTTCAGGGCACAAATTGTTGATAAATTTCCCATTTCAGGGCCCAAATTGTTTCTAAATTTCCTATTTCAAGGCTCAAATTGTTCTCTATTCCTGGAGCGGAGGAGAAATGCAGGAAAAGCCCAGCCAGGATCAGCTCATTCCTGCAATTGTGACAGCATTCAATTTCCCCATTCTTCTTCCATTTCCCCCGATTTTTCTCCCCATTTTTCCTTGAACACCTCCTTTTCTTCTCCACAAAAAGGATCCGTGACCTCTTCCATCCGTTTTCCTCATCATCCCCTAAAAACAGCTCAGGAAGATGAGGCACAAAGCAGCTGTGGTAGGGAGTTGTTCAGAATTTTAAAAAGCCTCAAAAATTTGATTTTTTCCCCCACTTCCAAGCACTTTTATCACCAATCTTTGTCCCTAATTCATTTTTTTTCCCCTAAAGGAGCATTTTAATGTTATTTTTTTTAAAATAAAAGCTGTTATTTTACCTCCAGCACCCTGGTGGTGCCCGGGAGGGACCAAAGGCATTTTTTGGGGCTGTGTGGCCAGGCTGGGTCCATGGCTGGGATGGCAGCAGGGTAAGGAGCTTACCTGGGGCCGGGGCTCAGCACGGCCCTAAGCAGATTGGAGCAGCTCCAGGGACATTTTTAACCCCCTGGATAAAGATTTTAACCCTGAAATAATTATAACCCCACGGATGGACATTGTTAACCCCAATGGATAAGGATTTCTAACCCTAAAATAATTATAACCTCATAGATGAAACCCTATGCATAAAGATTTCTAACCCTAAAATAATTATAATCCCCCTGGATAAAGATTTTGACCCTGAAATAATCATAACCCCATGGATGAACATATTAACGCCAATAAATGAACATTTTTAACCCCAATAAATGAACATTTTTAACACCAATAAATCAAAATTTTTAACACCAATGGATGAATATTTTTAACCCAAATGAATGAACATTTTAAACCCCAATGGGTGAACACTTTAGACCCCAATAAAGGAACATTTTTAATCCCAGTGGGTGAATATTTTAAACCCCAATGGCTGAACATTTTTAACCCAAATAAATGAAGATTTTAACCCCAGTGGGTTAAATACTCACCCTGCCTTTGCAAAGCCAGAGCTGGGTGAACAAAAGCATTTCCAATGACCTCGAGCAACACAAAATCAATGGGAGGCGATGGAGGAGCTGAACTTTCCTCCCTCCCCAAAACCACAATCAACATTTTTCTGAGCAAAACTCACCCCGTGAACGATTTCTGAGCAAAACTCATCCTGTGAATGATTATTGAGCAAAACTCATCCTGTGAATGATTTCTGGGCAATGATTTCTGAGCAAAACTCATCCTGTGAATGATTTCTGAGCAAAATTCATCCTGTGAATGATTATTGAGCAATGATTTCTGGACAAAACTCATCCTGTGAATGATTTCTGAGCAAAACTCATCCCATTAACGATTTCTGGACAAAACTCATCCTGTGAATGATTTCTGGGCAATGATTTCTAAGCAAAACTCATCCCAGGAATGATTATTGAGCAATGATTTCTGAGAAAAAATCATCCTGTGAATGATTTCTGGGCAAAACTCATCCTGTGAATGATTATTAAGCAAAACTCATCCCATGAATGATTTCTGAACAATGATTTCTGAGCAAAACTCATCCCATGAATGATTTCTGGGCAAAACTCATCCCATGAATGATTTCTGGGCAATGATTTCTGAACAAAACTCATCCCAGGAATGATTATTGAGCAATGATTTCTGAGCAAAACTCATCCCATGAATGATTTCTGAGCAAAACTCATCCCATGAATGATTTCTGAGCAAAACTCATGCCATTGAATGATTTCTGGGCTGGCACAGGGCCTGGGTGTTATTCCCACCGTGGATGAAGAACAACCAAAGCTCTGAGGAGCTCGATGCAGCTCCTGCCTTGAGGCTGAGAGAAATTTTACCCTGGGCTGCTGAAAATCCATTAAAGGGCTGGGAGGCTTCAGCCCTGATGACTTCCATGAGGAATTAAAACCTCGTAAATAATCCATGCTCTTGCTTGATGTGCAGCTGGGATCTCTGTTTCTGCAAACACAACTTCAGTTTCCAGGAAAAGAAAAAAAAAGAAAAAAAAAAAGTTTGCTTTTGGCCACAGCACAATTATCAGTAAATGTTCTTTTCAGAGAAATAATTTGCCCTTGTTGTCATTCTCCTGGAATGAATTATTACAGTAAACCCCTGATTTTTTTGATTAATGAAGGATTAATTCACCCCAACCAGCCCATTCCTGGTTTCTTCATTTTCCTGGCATGGAATTTGGATGAATATTTAAACCCAAGGCAGGCAATCAGCAGCATTCCACCCACAGAACAAATTCCTCCTGCAGGGCAGGGCTGCCACAGGCCTCAGTCCTGCTTATTCCATCTTCTCCTGCCTGGGTTTGTGTTTTCCCATTTCCCTGCCAGGGAGAACCACTTGAATTGATTTAATTCAATCCCCAGCCAGGGGGATCACAGGACTCTGGAGCTCCAGGGCAAAATCCCTTTTCCATCCAGATGTGGCCCAGGATGGTCATTCCTGGCCCAGCTGTTTTGGGCCTCCTCAGGAGGGTTTGGGGTGTGTTAAAATCATAAAATCCTGGGGTTTGGGTTGGAAAGGGACCTTAAATCTCATCAGTGGCAGGGATGCTCCAAGCTGGACCTGGACACTTCCTGGGAAACCCTAAAATTTGGAAAAACCCTAAAAATTGTGAAACTCCCTCACTTTACTCTTCAGGTATCTGTATATCCCACTCATGCATCCTTACCCTCAAAAAAAACCCCCAATTTTTGCCATCCCATGAGATTTTTAATTCTGCTCCCATTGAATTTCAGGATTCCTGGACAGAAATTGAGATTACAGGAGTGAGCTCTGCTCCTCTGCAGGGATTCAGGTTGGAAAAGCAAATCCATCCTTTCTCCCGAGGTCTGGGCTGGTTTTATTTCCTCTCCAGCAACCCTGGGAGCAGCTCTGACCCCCGGGATAATGGATTTGCTAAAAGCATCCTCCTGTCCTCCCCCAGATTTCCAACCCACCCCAAACCCTGACGTTTTGTCAATTAAAAAAAATCCAAGCGTTGTGATTTTCCAAGATTCCCCAAACCTCCTCATTCTGTTCGGTATTTCTCCAAGAAACCACCAAGGTACTGCAATTTTCCAACATTATCCGAGCCTTGATATCCCTTCAGTGCAAAATCCAAACGCTGTGATATTCCAGGATCTTCAGGTCAGCCTCAAACCCTGAAAATTCCTCAATAAAATCCTCCAGCTGCTGCAATTTCCCAGGATTTTAAAATCAGCCTCAAGCCCTGATATTTCCTCAGGATAAAATCCAAGTGCTGCAATATCCCAAGGCTCTGAAATTAGCCCCAAATCCTGATAAATCTTCAATAAAACCATTGGTGTTCTGCAGTTTTCTGAGATTTTAAAATCACCTTCAAACCCTGATAATTCCTCAATAAAACCATCCGTGTTCTGCAGCTCCCCAAGGTTTTTAAGTCAGCTCCAAGCCCTGATATTTCCTCAGGGCTGGAAATTTCCTATTCCCAGTATCAAATCCAGCTGCTGCAATATCCCAAGGCTCTGAAATCGGCCTCAAACTGATAAATCTTCAATAAAACCATCCGTGTTCTGCAGCTCCCCAAGGTTTTTAAATCAGCTCCAAGCCCTGATATTTCCTCAGAGCTGGAAATTTCCTATTCCCAGTATCAAATCCAAGTGCTGCAATATCCCAAGGCTCTGAAACCGGCCTCAAACCCTGATAATTCCCAATTAAAGCATAGGAACAACGCGATTTTCCAGGTCTCCTTTGGCTCCGGCGTCGCTCCCCGTGCCCGGGGCAGGATTTTGGGGTGACCCGGGGATTTCGGGGCAGCGGCCGCGCGTTTCCCCGGGGAAGGGGATGGATGCTGGGGATGATGATGATGATGATGATGATGGTGATGGGTGAGGGATGCGGGCAGGGCTCGGCGGGGCCGGGCTGCCCTGGAGCAGCTCCTCCCTCTCGCTATTTATTCCTCCGCGGAGCTCCGCGGCTGATTCACCCGGAGCGGGCGGGCAGCGCCTTCCCAGCCGGTGAGTACCGGGAAAAACGGGGCGTGGGGGCTCCGGGAGGGATAAACCCCCAGGCCAGGGGGGTTGGAGCCCCGGGGATGCGGGGCTGCCTCTTTCCTTGACAGAAAAATGACATTTCCAGCCGTTCCTTAGAAGCCAGAGCGCTGCTCCTGCCCGGTTCTTGTTTACTCAGCGTTCGCTCAAAATCCGCAATTCCTTCTCCGAGGATTCTGCCCTTTGCCCCGGCCTCCAGCGAGGAGGAATTTTCTAAACCCAGGGGTGACATTTTTAGGGAAATTCCCATTTTATTCCCAATTCCCAAAGCCCCAGACCGGAATTTTCAGCCCAGGAGGGTCCGGACTCCCCCATCCCCGAGCATCTTCCCCTTCCCCACCTCCCTTCTCTCCTTCTCCCCCTTCCCGGGGACTTTCCCGAGGTTATTTCCAGGGATATTTTGGCACCTGGGTGTTGGTTTTTTCCCCTCCGAAGCGAAGCCTCCTCCTTGCCAACGCCGAGCACGTAATTGCTGCTCACAGCCTCCATTTTCCACTGGGTTCCTCCAGCAGGGATGAAAATCAGCTCCGCCACAAAACCACCTGAATTAATTCTTCATTTCCAGCATCCGCGAATCTGGGGCAGAAAGGTTAAAAAAAAAAAAAAAATCCCTGTGAAATGACTCGATCTGTAATTTAATATTAATGCCACGGGCAGGCTATAAATAGAATTTCCAAGCGGAGAGATGCCAGCTCCGGGTTTTTATTCCTCCGAGAGAAATCTGGGATTTTCCCGGGAGAAAATCCCGGGTTCCCAGGAAGCAGCTCCTTCAGGGCTTTGGCCAAGGAACGCATTTATTTGGGGCGAAGCTAATTAGCGCCCGTATCCTGTTTGTCAGAGCTCGAAAGGCAATTAGAGCAGCAGCTCAGCGCTGCAATACCCCGGGATTCCTGAATCAGCCTCAAACCCCGCGATTTCCTCAATAAACCACCGCAGTGCTCTGCCAGAACCCCCCTCCAACCAGGCTTTTCAATTTTTAATTCAACCAGCGCCTGATTTTTAACCCCTCGGAGCTCACGGCGGGGAGGGATAGCTCAAAAAATCAGTTTTAAACCGCCCAGTTGGCTGTTTTCCCTCCTGCACCCAAGGAGCCGGCTGCTGTTTGTTTTCCCTGCTTTTTGGGCTATTTTTAAGGCTGATCTCATCCCTGCTCCCAGCGCGTGGGTGCTGCGGGGTGAGGGAGGCAGCGAACCCCAGACCGGCTCCTGGATCCCCAATTCCCCAAATCCCAGCGCCGGAATCGCTGCGGGTCCCCAGGGATGCGCTGCTGCATCCCCCGGGTTTGATTATTGGGGCTCCTGCCAACCACCCCTCCAGCTTGGGGGGCTTGAATCCAAACTTCGGAATTAAACCAGATTTTGGCAGGGGAAGGGGAGGAAAATTCATCACTGAGGAGCCCAAGGAGAGGAATTCGCTTTTTGCGGCCCACAAATCCGCGTCTTGGTGGTGACAGGATTATTTGTGGCTTGAACAGGCCGTGTTTGGCCTTTTTGGCTGGAGGGACGTTCAGCATCTCCTGCCTGCCCTGAGGGTATTCCAGGGAGCTGCTCCACTGATCTCTGTAAAATAAACCAGAATAAATCAATTTAGGACAGAAGGGAATTATTTCTCGCTGTAGCACGAGGGGGCTGAAGCGCTCGGCCACGCCTGGCCCAGCAGGCCGGGGGCAGGCAGACTCTGAATGCTAAAAATGCCACTTTGCCCCTTAATTAACAGGAATTTGGGCAACATTTGGGAAAAGAACTTGGGACTTTGGGAGAAGATCTTGGGAATTTGGGAAAAGAACCCCCCCCGGGGCCGGGCTGGGCGTTGCCCTCCCTGCAGCACCGAGTGCTCAAAAAGATAAATACATGTGTATATATATATATAAATACATATATTAAAAATATAAATACATGTATCTACATATATAAAAATACATATATATATAATATATGAAAACACATATATAAAAATAGCTAAAATAAATAGATAAAATATAAATATATAGAAATACAATAAACACATATAATAGAATAATAAACAGAAACATAATAATAAATGATATATAAAAATACAATTATGGATAAATTTTTATGTATATCTATATAAAGACACACACACACATATATATAAATACATACACATATAAATACATACACATATAAATACATACACATATATATAAATACATACACACACATATATATAAATACATACACACACATATATAAATACATACACACACATATATAAATAGATACACATATATATAAATACATACACATATATATATAAATACATACACACATACACACATATATAAATACATACACATACATACATATATAAATACACACACGCATATATAAATACACACACACACACACATATATATAAATACATACGCACACAGACACACACATATATCTAAGCAAATAGAAAGTATTTTACATTTCACTACAAATAAAGGGTTTTTGGGGGTAAATAGAACCGGGGCTCGACGCTGTCGGTGCTGCAGCGGGTTTGGGGCCCATGGCGGCAGGCCCTGCCCTGACGCTCTCCTTGTCCCCACAGCCATGGCCAAGCTCCCGGGCACCTCCTGCCTGCTGCTGCTGCTGCTGCTGCTGCTGCTGGGCGCCGACCTCGCCTCCTGCAAGAAGGGCAAAGGCAAACCCGGCGGGGGCGGCTGGGGCACGGGGAGCCGCCAGCCCAGCTACCCCCGCCAGCCCGGCTACCCCCAGAACCCGGGGTACCCCCACAACCCTGGCTACCCACACAACCCGGGGTACCCACACAACCCGGGGTACCCACACAACCCCGGCTACCCCCACAACCCCGGCTACCCGGGCTGGAACCAGGGCTACAACCCGTCGAGCGGAGGGAATTACCACCAGAAGCCGTGGAAGGCGCCCAAGCCCAAGACCAACCTGAAGCACGTGGCGGGGGCGGCGGCGGCGGGCGCCGTGGTGGGCGGCCTGGGGGGCTACGCCATGGGCCGGGTGATGTCGGGGATGCAGTACCGCTTCGACAGCCCCGACGAGTACCGCTGGTGGAGCGAGAACGCCGCGCGCTACCCCAACCAGGTCTACTACCGCGACTACCGCGGCGGCGCCGTGCCGCAGGACGTCTTCGTGGCCGACTGCTTCAACATCACCGTCACCGAGCACAACATCGGCCCCGCCGCCAAGAAAAACGCCTCGGAGGCCGGCGCCGCGCTCAACCAGACCGAGGCGGAGCTGGAGACGCGCGTGGTGACCAAGGTGATCCGCGAGATGTGCATCCAGCAGTACCAGGAGTACCGGCTGGCCGCTGGCACGCGGCCGCGCCTCGCCGCCGACGCCGCGCTGGCCGCGCTGCTGCTCCTGGCGTTGGCTGCCCTGCGCTAGAAGAGCCCCGCGTCCCCCCGCCCGCCTCTCTGGGTTTTGGTGAGGAGCCTCCGGTTTAGGCAAAAAAAACGGGATGAAAAATTTCCTTTTCCGCCCCAAACGCGGCCCCAAAACGGCGCCGGAGCCCAAAACCGCGGCCTTCATCTCCTCCTCCTCCTCCTCGGGGCCACCCCGAGAGGGACCAGGCAGAGGGGAGCTCTCCTCGGGGTCCCTGCAGGAGCTTCTCCAAAAATCCTCTTTGTTAATAGGCAGGGTTTTGTCTCGCCCCTCGGTGCCAGGTTGAAAAATTTGAACCATTTCATCCTAAAAAAAAAAACCAAAAACCCTTTCCCGTGTAGATAAGGAGCTGCCACTCCTCACCCTGCACGCTGCAAGAACCCCGTGCAGCAACACACCAAAAGAAAGAAATAAAGTCATTTTTTACTCCCCGTCAGCCTTTAGAGGCAGCAAGTGCTGCTGAGTGCCCCAAACACCCCCAAAACGGTGTTACAACCCGAGAAAAAGCCACTTGGGGTGCCCCAGGTGACAATTCCTGGTCGTGCTTCAGCACCTGGACCTGAAGGAGGCGAAAATGCAGCACAGAGAATTCTCAGGGTGGCCAGAGACTGAGAGCAGCTGAACCACGCCGGTCCAGCAAACAGCACCGGGAAAAACGGGCCTGGGAAGGGAGATGCTTTAAAAATAATTCACATTTCTGAGTAATTCCTTTGCCCTGAGGAAGCAACAGTGAAATTCCTGCTTCTCATGTGGATGCTGGGCTGGGGACGAGCTGTAACACCCGCGGCGCTGCGCTTGTGGAACCGAGCTCGGTGTAATATCTCGTGTTTTATTTTTGCAAGGCACTGAATAACACTGTCCTAAATGAGATTTTTTTTTTTTTTTTGCATTGGTGTAAGCTAAGTGAAGATATATATTATATATATATAAATATCTATAAACAGAGAGCAAAGAAACCTTTTTTGAGGACGGCCACCGGAAAAGCAGGGCTTGGAGGTGCCCGGTACTTTGACACGCGGATGTTTTGTAACCCCGGCACGCGGCGTGCCCGGGATTCGCCTTGCTGAGCCTTTTCCAAGTGTTCCACGTCTGGTACAAATTAAAACGGATCAAGCCAAGGTGCCCAGCAGCCTCCTTTGTGTGCCAGCCCCCGCTGCATTTCTGCATCCCCGCATTTCTGCATTTCTGCATTCCCGCATTTCTGCATCCCCGCATTTCTTCATCCCCGCATTTCCCCTCCCCATCCCCCCGAGGCCTGAGGGAGCTTTTGTTCCCTTCCAGCACCAAATTTGGCCCCAACCCCACAGTTCCAGTCAGCCTTTTGTCCTCCCCTGCCCCCACCGCTGGTATCGCTGCAGGCCGAGAAGTGTTTTCTAATTTCTGTCTCATTCCAGTTTCGGTTCTAATAAAGGAGTTTTTACATTTGCTGTTTCCGTGGCGTTGAGCCCGACCCAAGGCCTGCTTCATCGTGGAGTGCTGGACGCTTTTTTATCACGGAATCCTGGAGTGGTTTGGGTTGGGAGGGACCCCAAATCCCACCCAGTGCCAGCCCTGCCATGGCAGGGACATTCCCCGCTGTCCCAGGGGGCTCCAAGCCCTGTCCTGGACAATTCAGGGATCCAGGAGCAGCCACAGCTTCCCTGGGAATTCCATGCCAGCCCCTCACAGGGAGGAATTCCTTCCCAAAATCCCACCCAAACCCTGCCCTCGGGCACTGGGAAACACTTCCCCTTGTCCTGGCTGTCCGTGTCCTCGTGGAAAATCCTTTCCCCGCCAAAAGCATCCCCGTGTATGGCCCAGGGGGAGAGAAAAGGCAAAAAATAAATTCGGGAATGCGATCTGGGAAGAGCGGGGTCATTCCTGCAGCGTCCCTGAGCTCAGGTCAGGGCCAGGAACAGAGAGTGCTCCTGAGGGACGCAGGCACCAAAAATTGACCCGAATAAATGGTGGGAAAATGCAATTCCCAGCTGCGGCCGGAGGTTCTGCATTAAAAAACCAGAGCCCTGGGTGCGTTTGGAGGCGGGGATGGGTTTGCTCAGCCTCAGCACTGCTCCTCAGCCAGGGCTGTGGTGGTTTGGACAAGGCCCTGGAGCATCCCTGCTCCAAAATGTTCCTGCAGCCCTCAGGAGTGTCCTGCCTTGGGGCAGATTTGGGAGAAGCGACTCCTGGGAAACTTTTCAAGAATGTTGCAAAAGAGCCCCAAAAATCATTATCTGTTCCCTGGGGGTCCTTTCAGCCCTGATGAGAGGTGAGACCCAGCCTCCTCCCCTCCTGAAGGACACTCATATCCCAAAATCCCGATTCCCAGGAGAGGTGAGCCGCTCCCGAACACCCAGCCTCAAAAACCTGCAGAGAGCACTCACCTGCTGGAGGATGGGGATCTCACCTGCCCAGAAACTTTTTGGGGATCATTTTCCACTTGGAGCCGCTTTATTTTCCATTCTCATAGCGATGGTTGAGCTGCTGCAGCCAAAACCTGGATTTGGGGAAGATTTAACCCCCCAGGACAGGGATTAGAGAGGAAAATGCAGCTGCTGGAGGACAAACCATCCCTCACTGCTCCTTTTTGTGACTTCCAGGCAGGATTTGCCTCCTCCCTGACAAGCACAAAGCACCTGAGACAGGGTCACTCCTACAGGTGTGAGTACTTTGGGCAGGGAACGCTGCAAATCGGGATCTGGAGGATTGGGATGGATCATATCAAAGCCAGAGAGGTGGGACCCAGCAGGGTTTGTCCCCAGGCAGCCTCGTGGCTCCAGTGCTAAAGACGCTGGATTTGGTAAAATCAGAGCATGTCTCAAGGCCAAACTTTATTGCGAGGCTCAGGCCTCCATTTCCAAGCCCCACACCCCCCTCCCCGTGAGTCCCAGCGCTCTTTTGGGGGAGAAGGAGCTTTTTTTGGTGAAGCCGTGCAACGGGAATCCAGAGCCGAGTGCCGGCGGGGGCCGATTTCCACAGGTCCTTGCAGGGCTGCCTTTGCTCACGCAGGTCCTGTCCCGGGTGGGTTTGCAGTGTCCCTCCGGTCCCGGGTGGGTTTGCAGTGTCCCTCCGGTCCCGGGTGGGTTTGCAGGATCCCCCCGGTCCCGGCTGGGGCTCGCAGGATCCCCCGGTCCCGGCTGGAATTCACGGCATCCCCGGTCCCGGCTGGAATTCACGGCACCCCCCGGTCCCGGCTGGAATTCACGGCATCCCCCGGTCCCGGCTGGGGCTCGCAGGATCCCCGATCCCGGCTGGAATTCACGGCACCCCCCGGTCCCGGCTGGGGCTCGCAGGATCCCCGGTCCCGGTTGGGGCTCGCAGGATCCCCGGTCCCGGTTGGAATTCACGGCATCCCCCGGTACCGGTTGGGTTTGCAGGACCCCCCCGGTCCCGGCTGGAATTCACGGCATCCCCGGTCCCGGCTGGGGCTCGCAGGATCCGGCTCCCGGTGCCCGCCCAGCTCGGGCCGCCGGCCAGGAGCGCCTGTCCCAGCTCCGCACGCCACATCCAATCTCCCAGCAAAAGTCAATTCTCTCCCAAACGCCGGGCCGGGGGTCCCCGGGGGTCCCCGGGGGTCCCCGGGGGTCGCGGGGGTGCCCTCAGCGCTGCAGCCCGTGGCTGAGCAGGCAGGCTCCCGCTGCCAGCAGCAGGGCGAGCCCGAGCCCGGCTCTCCGCCGGCCGGGGGCTCTGCTGGGGGGTCCCCGCCTGCCCCCCGGCTCGGGCCAGCCCCCGGCGTGGAACCCGCCCGCGGCCGGCGGCTGCCGCGCCGCCGGGATGCCGTGACCGAGGCGGGCCGGCCGCGGGCGGCCCAGCAGCCCCATGCCGTAACCGGCGGCGGCTCCGGCCGCGACGGCTCCGGCCACCTTGGAGCCGCGGCCCGGGGAGCCGCCACCGCGGGACAGGGCACGGAAACCCCCGCGGAGCCCCCCGGGCCCGGCGCTCCTCCCGCCGCCCCCGCGGCGGCCGCCGGCGGCGTCGCTGAGGAGGGCGAGAAGCAGCAGCAGCGCCCAACAGCGGGAGAGCTCCGGGGGCCGCATCCTGCGGGACAGAGAGCGGCTGAGAGCGGGGCTGTATCCCCCCCAGTGCGGGACAAGGAGCGGCTGAGAGCGGGGCCGCATCCCGCCCCAGTGCGGGACAAGGAGCGGCTGAGAGCGGTGGTTAGAAACCTCTCTGTGAGCGGTTTAAGCATTCTGTGAGTGTGGGATTGTGTGAGTGTGGGATTCTGTGAGTGTGTGAATCTGGGATTGTGTGAGTGTGTAAATGCAGTTCTATGAGTGTGTGGTTCTGTGAGTGTGGGATTGTGTGAGTCTGTGATTGTAGAGTGTGTAAATGTGGTTCTGTGAGTCCGTGATTGTGTGAGTGTGTAAATGCGGTTCTGTGAGTGTGGGATTGTGTGAGTGTGTAAATGCGGTTCTGTGAGTGTGTAAATGCGGTTCTGTGAGTGTGGTTCTGTGAGTCTGGGATTCTGTGAGTGTGTGATTGTGTGAGTCTGTGAGTGTGTGAGTGTGTAAATGCGGTTCTGTGAGTGTGGGATTCTGTGAGTGTGTAAATGCGGTTCTGTGAGTGTGGTTCTGTGAGCGTGTGATTCAGTGAGTGTGGGATTCTGTGAGTGTGTGAGTGTGTGATTCTGTGAGTGTGTAAATGCGGTTCTGTGAGTGTGGTTCTGTGAGTCTGGGGTTCTGTGTGTGCCCCAGGCAGGGATCAAACCCCCAAACTTGGCGTTGTTAGCACCAAGCTGACCTCAGTGGCTTTTATCTCTCTGTATTCTCTCTATTTATCTCTACATTATCTCTATATTTTCTCTATATTATCTCTATCTCCCTATGTTATCTCTATCTCTATATTGTTTCTATTTATCTCTCTATATTATCTCTATTTATCCCTCTCTGTTGTCTCTATTTATCTCTCTATATAATCTCTATTTCTCTCTATATTGTCCCTATTTATCTCTATATTATCCATTTATCTCTCTGTGTTATCTCTATGTTGTCTCTTTCTATCTCTCTGTATTATCCCTATTTTATGACTTATTTATATATTCATTCATTGTCCAGGTCACTACGTATTGTAGCTAATACAGAATGTATAATAATATGTGATCAATAACCAATGATTTCTAATAGAGACCATTAATACATAATAATAGATCATGTTGTGTATTATATAATATTATCTTATTGTATTATTATTTATTATATTAATTATGATATTATTTTATTATATATAATGATATTGCTATGTTAATAAGCAGTTCATTATTATATTATTATAGATTATATTTATATATCATATTATCTATAATATATTATAGATTTATCATATGTTATTATAGTATTATATTAATAAATGTGGTATTATTTCATTATATTTTAATGCGTTTATACCTATTGTTATATATTATATTGATACATAATTATACATTCCAGTGGAAGACATCCCTGCCCATGACAAGGGGTTGGCCCGGATGATCTTTAAACAGCCCCAAAGTCCCCAAATTGCCCGGACCCCTCTGTCCCTGCAGGGACGAGATTCCCCCGGGGCAGAGCAAACGCTGACTGTGCTGGAGCCGCTGAGCCACCGCTGCTCCACATCCCCAAAAAGCCGCGGCCGCGCTGACAAAAGCTGCTGGACAAAGCAGAGCCCCCCTGGCATCCCTGAGTCAGCGACTGCCTCGGGCTGGAAGGTGCCAGGCCTGACCCCCACCCTGCCAGCGCTTCAAAAATTCACATTTTCATGGGATTTGCCTCCTTTTCCTGCCCCGCTCCAGTGCCAGCGCTTCAAAAATTCGCATTTCATGGGATTTGCCTCCTTTTCCTGCCCCGGTCCTCCGGCTTTTTTGGGGCTATTTTAAGGAAAGCACTTGAAAACGGGGTTATTTTAAGGAAAGCACTGAGAAGCGTCCCCCTTTCCCAGCTGTTACCACAAACACCACAAAACCGGGCGGCAAATCCCAGAAAAAATCCCGACACGAGGATTTCCCCCTCCTGTTTCCCCCCATCTCTACTTCCCCAAATTTAGGGGTCACCGGGCAGGGAACCCCCAGCGCTGGAGCATCCCGGGGCTGCTCTCCCCATCCCAGATTTGTGCCAAGCAAATTCCAATTATCTTTCGGCTGCTCGGCACCCAAATCCTGCTTTTTTCACCCCAGAAATGCGGGGCGCTGCCCTTACCCGTGCGCTCGGGATTTTCCCGGTGGGATCAGCGGGATTTTCCCGGTGGAACCGGTGGGATTCTCCCGGTGGGATTTTCCCGGTGGGAAGCCCGGCCCCTCTGCGGGGAGGGATCACAGGGAGGGCCGGCTGAGCTCCGGCCACTCCAGCTGGAAAAAACAGCCGGGTTTTACCTCCCCGCAGCGAAATTCCCTCGGGATGGATCCTGCAGCCCGCAGGGATAAATAATTCCTGGGGGTGAATAATCCCTAAGGGCTGGATAAACCCTAAAGC